CTTGATATTCTGGGTTTGTTTTAAAACATATCATCACAACAGGACCAGTCCTATGTATTAGGGAATTCTTGTCTGTTGTTGTGAGTTTTCTGGGCTGTATGGCCATGTACAGTGGCCCTTATTTCTCATGCCAGTAAGGTAATGCTCAAGATCCTGCAAGGAAGACTCGAAAAAATACATGGAACGAGAGTTGCCAGATGTACAAGCTGGGTTTAGAAAAGGCAGAGGAGTGAGAGACCAAATTGCCAATATCCACTGGATAATGGAGGGAGGCGTAGAATTTAAGAAAAACACCTATTTCTGTTTTATTAACTATTCTAAAGCCTTTGACTGTGTGGATCATAATAAATTGTGGCAAGTTCTTGGTGGGATGGGCATACCAAATCACCATTTCTCTTTCCTGAAGAATCTGTACAAGGACCAAGTAGCAACAGTAAGAACTGACCATGGAACAACGGACTGGCTCAAGATTGGGAAAGGCATATGACAGGGTTGCAAACTCTCACCCTATCTATTCAACTTGTATGCAGAACACATCATGCAATGTGCAGGGCTCGAGGAATGCAAGGCTGGGGTAAAAATTGCTGGAAGAAACATTAACAACCGTAGATATGTAGATGATACCACTTTGATGGCCGAACGCGAGGAGGAGCTGAGGAGCCTTCTAATCAAGGTGAAAGAAGAAAGCGCAAAAGCTGGGTTGCAGTTAAACATCAAAGAAACCAAGATTATGGCAACAAGAATGATTGACAACTGGAAAATAGAGGGAGAAAACGTGGAGGCCATGACAGACTTTGTATTTCTGGGTGCAAAGATTACTGCAGACACAGACTGCAGCCAGGAAATCAGGAGACGCTTACTTCTTGGGAGGAGAGCAATGACCAATCTCGATAAAATAGAGAAGAATAGAGACATCACACTGGCAACGAAGATTCGCATAATTAAAGCAATGATATTCCCCGTAGTCACCTACGGATGTGAGATCTGGACCATAGGGAAGGCTGAGAAAAGAAAGATAGATGCTTTTGAACTGTGGTGTTGGAGGGAAGTTCTGAGAGTGCCTTGGACTGCGAGAAGATCCAACCAGTCCATCCTCCAGGAAATAAAGCCCGACTGCTTATTGGAGGGAAAAATAGTAGAGGCCAAGATGAAGTAATGGAAGGAAAAAGGAAGAGGGGCCGACCAAGGGCAAGATGGACGGATGGCATCCTTGGAGTGACTGGATTGACCTTGAAGGAGCTGGGGATGGTGACGACCGACAGGGAGCTCTGGCGTGGGCTGGTCCATGAGGTCACGAACATTAGGAAACGACTGAACGAATGAACAATAACACAACAACAACATGGCCGTGTTCCAGAAGCATTCTCTCCTGACGTTTTGCTTGCATCTATGGCAAGCATCCTCAGAGATTGTGAGGTCTGTTGGAAACTAGGAAAATTGGGTTTATATATCTCTGGAAAATCCAGGGTAGGAGAAAGAACTCTTGTCTGTTTGAGGTAGGTGTGAATGTTGCACTTGGCCACCTTGATTAGCATTGAATGGCTTTGCAGCTTCAAGGTCTGGCTTCTTACTGCCTGAGGGAATCCTTTGTTGGGAGGTGATTAGATGGCCCTGATTGTTTCTTATCTGGAATTCCCCTGTTTTTGAATGTAATGATTTTTTTTTAGAATTTCTGGAACATGGCCATGCAGCCCAGAAAACTCACAACAACCCAGCGATTACAACCACGAAAGCCTTCAATAATTCTTGTTTGTGTTTTCTAGGGAAAAAATGGCAGGTGGCTATGGCCGGGGACATCTGCACAGCAGCATAGTGCTCAATGTGCAGCAAAATAAATATTTTTTAAAAATCCCGCTTATTTTTGAGACATAGTTGAAAACATGGATGTAGAATCCATGAATACAAGTGGGTGAACTATAATCCTCAGCTCTTAATTTCTTGTATTGAATGACTGGTCCTTTTAGCCTGGTTTGAGACATAATACCCCTTCAAGACATCATTAGATATGAAAAAGGGATAGACTTTGAAATTATTCATTTATTTTCTGAAATCGCTTCCATCTCACACTACAACCAGAAATGCACTCAACAAAGTGGCTCACAAGATAGGTAGCATGACAGTCCATGCCCTCAGGCTCATCATCTAATGCATCTGTGGTGGTAGCAACGGTGGGGAACCTAGTGCTTTCACTGTACACATTACTAGATGTAATTCCAGCAATGTAATAATAATGTAATTGTAGTACTGGCTGTAAATTTTAGAGAGTGGGTTCAGTTGGATGGAATAGTTAAGGCAGTTTCCTGGAATAGCTGCTGTTAGTTGGTCACCAAGGGATGAAATCCTGGATATTTTTTCCTCTGTTGTTGGTTGTTCTCTTTGGTGATGTACACCAGCAGTCTTTGGCAGAAAAGGCTTAACAAAGGACACGCAAAACTAGAATTCCCATGATTCCATAGCATGGAGGCACGGCAGTTAACGTGTTGTCAAACTGCATTAATTCTACAATGTAGATGCACCTCCAGTGTTTTCTTCCCTCTGTTGTCTATGGCATTTGGAACATGGAAATGAGTCATCTCCATGGCAGCTGGACCCAGGCATAATGCAGATGTGCTGTGCTGTTATTCCTCTTCCTCTGTGATCACGATTAACTCCTTTTGTGATCTGTCTCTGGCCACTAGACTGATCTGAGGAGGACATGGAAAGGCACTTTTTAGTCCTTGTGTCAGGAGCCCCCAGTGGTGCAGTGAATTAAACCCCTGTGCTGGCAGGACTGTTGACCGATAGGTCAGCAGTTCGAATCCAGTGGCAGCAGGTTGAGCTCCCTCTGTCAGCCCCAGCTCCCCATGTGGGGACATGAGAGAAGCCTCCCAAAGGATGGTCAAACATCAAACACCCGGGCGTCCCCTGGGCAACGTCCTTGCAGACTGCCAATTCTCTCACACCAGAAGCAACTTGCAGCTTCTCAAGTCGTTCTTGACACGAAAAAAGAATCCTTGTGCCGTCCAGAGTGGATTATGACTTACTACACTGCTTAAGTTTTAGTTTTGAGCCTGGCAACTGGGGAGAGTAGTTGAGTCGTGAGAGACAGATGAAAGCCTTGTAATTGTCGTTCTCTACTGTCTAATCCTTCGGCTGTTTTAATACATCCCCCTGAGAAAAGCTGTGCAGTGATAGCTCTCACTGAGACAATTGGGCCTGGATTTCCTGAAAATCCTCTTGACATTATTATTGCTCAAAGAGCTTTGCAGTTGAGTGATTCATTCTACATTCAGTAGGCTTTCCTAATTTTATTTATGCGTTCGTTATAGTTACTTAAGGCATTTCTGAATAGCTTCCGAGGCTGTGAAGGCTCCAGAGGCGGTGAAACAAGTAAAAACCAATTAAAACAATAGAAAGATAAAAACATTTTAAAACACACTAAAATCATTTTTAAAAACTCCTCTAAGAGCAGTATAAAAATCCTAGAATCCACTTTTGATAAAGAAAAAGCAGCAATTTCAAACACTGAATGTTCTTGCTGTTTAATATGAATTATTTTTCTCATTAATAATAATAATACTTTTTATATATTGTGCCCTATCTTCCCGAAAGGACTCAGAGCGGATTCCAATCACAAAAAAGCAAATATTCAGTGCCTGAATACAACAACCAATACATACATAATAGCAAAAAATCATAAACCAACATATAAAAACAAATTATAATTTAAACATCTAGAATTAAGATAAAACATAACCAATCAAATACATTATATCAACACAGAATAAAGCATCAAACAGAAGCGTCAATTTCCAGAGCTGACAAAATTCCTTGGGGGTATAGAAGTTGATTATTGCCAAAGATGTTATCCGGGCTAGCAGGTTAAGGATCAAGGCAAGGATCTATGATATGGATAGTATATATATTATATATTTATCTATCTGTTGCCAGTATACCTGTTACTATATTTGCACTATGTTAAAATTTAACCTGCTGGTAAAATAGCACAGCCACACCTTGAACACTGTGCATTTAATAATAGTCATCATTCAATACATCATTTCGTATTACGTGTGTGTGTGTGTGTGTGTGTGTATATATATATATATATATATTCACTTTTTCAATATGTTGAGGGCTTTCATAATTGGAAAAAAACAACTGAAAACCATAAGTGGATTTCCAGCCATCTTGTACATAGGGATCATTTTCATACTTCCAGAGCTCCTGGGCAAACAATTGGCCCCCAAATGCAGTGAGATAAATTAATTATTGCCCTATGAGCTAAAGCAATACAGTAGGACCACATGTTATGCAAGGGATCTGTTCCAGGACTACATACATAGTACATATAATATACTACACTGTTTGTATATTATCCAGAAACTTGTTTTTCTTACCTGAAGTAATCAACTTTCTGGGCTTCCGGCCAAAGCAGATCATAGAATTATATTGGAGCGCCTATAGATCCCCAGAGAAGTATTCTCTCTAGACTTACAGCACAGTTCCATAGCCAACTTCCATTAAAACCTCACTTCTGGCTGAAATTGACCTTAAAATCATGCTGGGGGTTTATAGCATGTTTTTCTAGGCATCACTTGATCCTCCTGCCCAACTTTATGGCATTCAGAGCTCTTTAAATATAACTGAAACCGTGTTCATTGAGCTTGTATAAGTTTGTGTAACAAAATCTGGGGGGAAAAAATCAGTTCCTGGTTTGAAAATGCTATTTCCTGTTTAATTGTGCAGAACTTACTTTGAAAGTAGTTGTTATACTCCAGAAACGTAGTTTTTGTGGCTGCCGCAAACTATGTTGAATTAGTTGAGACTCAATGAGATATTCATTGAAAAACAACAGCAAAATGTGATGCAGAATGCCATTTAATAAACCTCTTCTATGTTTTTATGAGAGATCCAATTAGCAAATGACATATATGACCCAGGAACAAAAATTGTGTTACATAGTGCAATAGACAAGCTTTACTGTACATGTTTTAACAGAATTGAATTTCTTCTTGCAGATCCAGAACATGAACAATATAATTACTTTCCCACTGGACAGCTTACTGAAGGGGGATCTAAAAGGTGTAAAAGGGGTATGTTGTATGTGTTTAGACATGAATATACTTAAAATGTTTCTTACTGTTAGTATTTCTTCTTAACATAGATGCATTGAAAAATGCATGTAAGTGTTCTCATCGTCTATTTAGTACAATAACTCAAGTTCTTTTGTGATGATTATGAGATTGTTGGCATGTTGGAGTGCTGACATACCTTTTCAAAAATGTATTCCTTTGTATTTTGATTTCATCACTTCCTGATGTAGAGGCAGAAGTCTCACATTCACTTTTCCAAAACTCTGGAAAAACTTCAAATCCTGTGCAGAAGGGTTACATAGCTGTAATGATATAGTACGACCCCCATATCAATGAAGATTAGGTTCCTGGATTTACCACGCTGAATGGTTATTCCATTGATTTTGGCCATGTAGACACAGCCTGAGAGTGTGCTTCTAGAACAGTGGTTCCCGACTTTATTTTGACCTGGGACCACTTTGACCAGGGACCACTCCACAACATTAGTACCAAAAGGGTTACCAATCAGTTTTTGGTTAACTTTAGATTCGGTTTGGTTATTTGGGGTGCTGATTCAGAAAATTGCATTGGATAGATCACATCAGCTCTAGTTTCTGATACAGAACATATTTGATCAGGTAGTCGCCATCTGAAAACCATATTTAACAATCTAGAGCTAATGTGGTAGTAGCAATCTTTCGTGGGTAGTCAGCCTCTCCCCTCTTACATCCCCATTGCCTCAGCACTATAAGAGGGTTTCACGAGACCAGTCACTCTTGTTGTTTTGGTTTCGAGGCAACAGTGTAGTAATTGTGATGCCATGGACCATATTTTTGTTTATGGGGACCACTGGGGATCCATGGACCATAAGTTGGGAACCACTGTTCTGGAATGAAGACATCTTAGTTCTCTTAAACAACAGGCTATGTGAAGCTATTTCTTCTTACCGCTATCAGAAAATATGTTAACAAGTAAGGCAAATGCAAAATGATAATTCCTGCATGTCCAGTAATTTCTATGAATGAGAGATTGTTTAACAAGCGCATCAACAGGAAATGTTGAAAAGTTGGAAATGCTCTGTTTCTGGAAATTTCTTCGTATAAATATTCAGTGAAGGAATAAGAACAAAAGTTCAAATATTTTCTGAACTTTCTGAGTTTTTTTTCATAGTCCTTGGCCTGTCACCCTGTATGACTTTGCTCTTTAGCTTAATGTTTCACAAACTGACCTGTTCTGGGATATTGAATCTATTCCAGCATGTAAAAATTGTTTGTGGGTTGTACTTGTTTTGCTCTTAATGGATAATACTACCAGAATATTTTATCCTAAATATTCCATGTGCTTAGAAATTTTATTTGGTTTATATATAAACCAACAGGGTATTTCTGTCCCTTATCCTTATTTGTTTGGGGAAACATCAGTGTGAACAGAGTGTTGTGTTCCGGCCAATGGGCACCATGGTAGCAATTGCTGGTCTCCTTATATGAATCCTTGAATAACGTGGTTCTTGTGAAGGCTTTCTCTGATAGTTCAGTGTGAAATGTGGTCTACCGGCCTTGTATTGGGGTTGATTTGATCATAAAGAAGAAGAGTTGCTGTCCATAATTTGTTGTCAGTTTGTGCATATCTAGTCTATTTCAGCCCCATTCCATACCTGATAAACTATAAATGGCTCTGATGTATGAACATGTCCCTTGTTAGGTCAGGAGTGGTCTGAAGTACCTGAAGTTTGGCCCAATATATAGAAGGTTGGATTTCCAAGTGTTTCTAATTCCACTGAAGCAGATCATAAAAGCTAAATTCATCTGTATTCAAAGCAGAGGCGGCCAAACGTTTTCGTATTGCAAGTTTAATCAGACCTTGCCAATCTAGCCAATTGTACTGTATATGTTTATGGCATCAAATAGTTGCTGGGTTGTAAGCCGCCTTCAGTTGCCTCCAAGCTCGAGAAAGGTGGGATAGAAATATCGTAAATGAATAAATAAATAATCCAGCAATACCTGGAAGACCACAGTTTTCCCACGCCTGGTTTAAAGGATGATAGGGAAAGAATACAAAAATACCATACCAGTATCTTGTCTGAAATATTAGAAATTTATCTCAAAGCGGATGGTTACTTAACTATTTAACATTTCATTCTTTCTTTCAGGATCTGAAGAAACCTTTTGATAAAGCATGGAAGGACTATGAAACAAAAGTGTATGTATTTCTTTTCTGTTGCACAGCAAATCACTTTTATTTATCGTGTCAGAAGCGACTTGAGATACTGCAAGTTGCTTCTGGTATGAGAGAATTGGTCATCTACAAAGACTTTGCTCGGGGGTGCCTGGATGTGTTACCATCCTTGCTGTGATGACAAACTACATTTTTGTTCCCTGAGGGATTTATGCAGTTCAGCTCATTGAGTGGTGTCTATATGTGTAAAAGTTCCGATTTGGGAAGAAATGTAGGATATAATAAGAACAATATCTTGCCATTGAATGCATAAACTGTTTGAAAAGGGTGCTTTGGTGGTTTGACAGTGAAAATTCTGTTACATTGCTTGAGCGATGGTGACTATTCTCCACATGCAAAGCCATCAGTGTCAAGTACTAGAACTACTGTTTTGGAGAGTTAGGCCCCCATCTGCAAAGGCCTAAAATTCATTTTAGGAAACAGATTAGTATGATGATTTTCATCGAATCTTGGCCAGTGTAGAAGTTAAGAAAATAGAGTTGGAAACCGGCGCATTAAGGTACACAGGAATCAGTTTGTTCATGTAGTGCATCTCAATGCAGCTTCAATGGAAACTCTGAAACAAAAATGTCATATACAAACATTTACAAATGCATGCCTTTTGGAACTCCAACCTGTGCTGCATTGATTTTCAACACAGTTTGTCACATAGGACAGAAGTGTAATATGACACAACCTGTGGCATAAGAGCAGTAAAATTTGTCAAAATGACTCAGTTAAAATGACAAGTTAAAAGCTTCCAAACAGCAACATAAATTGTGATGTGTTTCTGCCATGTACTTTGGCATTGACAAATACTGACTCAAAAGGTGTAGGGATCTAGTAGCTGGTGGTGCAGACGCTACATGGGAAGATCCCTTCCATCAAGGAGATGTGAGGCATCCCACCTGAAATCCTGGTGGACCAGAACAATCCTCTGTGGATGTCTTATCTGCATTAACCTTTTGATATTTACTAGGGATGTGTGATCCATTAAAAAAAGGTTCAAAAGTCATTACAAAACTGTGGGGTGCTGGCATTTCCTTTCTAAAGTGTTTCTAAAGTATAGTTGGTGAAAAAATTGGGCGTATTGGGTATTTGTGCCAAATTTGGTCCAGTGAATGAAAATACATCCTGCATATCAGCTATTTACATTACAATTCATATCAGTAGCAAAATTACAGTTATGAAGTAGCGACAAAAACCGCTTTGAGTCCCCCTAGGGGTGAGAAAAATGGTATATAAATGCTGCAAATAAATAAATAAATAAATAAATTTTATGGTTGGGAGTCACCATAACATGAGGAACTGTATGACGAGATCGCAGCATTAGGAAGGTTGATAAACACTGCACTAGAACATCATTCCATTTCTGAGCCCTCTTCATACTTTAGATATACATTGACAAATTTGCCTCTTAGCCATGAAAGCTGTTTTTCTCCCTTTTCATCAGTATAGAGCTGGAAATTCCTCAAATATTAAGTGCTCTTTACCTGTTTCCTTCTGTTGAACAATGCAGATCAAAAGCATTGAATCCTCACAAAATCTCTGACCCATTTTCTATTCCATCCTTTTAAGCAACTTCTATGTTACTTTTCTCTGTGTGCTGTAAATCTGAAGTCCTAATTAGAAATGTTTTTCAGGCAGACTTGAAACTGGTTTTTAATTTATCCCCTTTCTGGACCAGAGCTCGCTTTTCTCATTTCCTGTTCAAGGTCTGTAAAGGACAAAGTCCTTTCCCCCATGGCAATGCTTTCACCATATTTGTGGAACTGTTGTGTTGTGTTGTTTTAATGTTCCAGTGCTGTTAAAACAAAGGAAAAACAACTTTCTGCAGTAAGTTTGCCTCTGTTTTCTATTACATGGGTTGAAACGTAATGCTGTTGCTGCTGGAAAGCTGGCAGCACAAGTATGACATTAAAGGAAATGCTAGTTCTGGCATGGCCTCAAATTAATTATGTCAGCCAAACTATTAATACTTCCTAGTAAATAAGTCTGTAGTTGATTCTGTGCCTGTGGTTGGGTTTGGCTCTTACTTGGCTTTTGCTCATTTATGCCCCCTCCCATCTTTATATACTTAAACATTAACAGCATGACACGCAGAGAAGAAATATATAAAAGGAATGCCATTGGCAGGAACAGAAACCTCCTTACTTGTAGCAGACAGGGTAGTCCTGAGTATTCAGCCTGGCTAATTGTGAGGTAGGGACAAGCCCTGGGAGCTAGTCAAACTACAAGGCACACGATCTTCAGGTTCCCCTGCATCCGGGCATTCTTCTGTTTCTGCCTTGCGAGGAAACCATGCCACCTCGGAGGCAAAAAGGGGCAGCTGACAAGATCCCCGCCACAAATTCAAACACACATTATTGTGTACATTGGACTCTACTGTGCGTTGAATCCATGGATCATGAGTCCGTGGATATGGAAGGCCTGTCATATTTAATTTGTATGTTACCTGTTCAGTGGCAGAACCAGGCTGTGCATATTATTATTATTATTATTATTATTATTATTATTATTATTATTATTATTATTATTGGACTTTTGAATCCAGACTGACAAAGTTTTGGAATACAATACGCCAGACATCACGATTGTGGAAAAGAAAAACATTTGGATTATTGATGTCGCCATACCAGGTGACAGTTGCATTGACAAAAAACATCAGGAAAAATTCAGCTGTTATCAGGACCTCAAAATTGAACTGCAAAGCCTCTGGCATAAAACAGTACAGGTGTTCCCCGTGGTCATTGGCACACTGGGTGCCATGCCAAAAGATCTCAGCCAGCATTTGGAAAAAAATAAATATTGACAAAATCATGATCTGTCAACTGCAAAAGGTCACCTTACTTGGATCTGCACGCATCATTCGAAAATACATCACACAGTCCTAGATGCTTGGGAAGTGTTCGACTTGTGATTTTGTGATACGAAATCCAGCATATATACTATCTGGTTTGCTGTGACATACTGTGTTCTTGTGTCAGTAAAATAATAATAATAGACTTTAGTTATATTCCGTTTTATCTCCCCGGAGGGACTCAGAGCAGATTACAATATGCATATGAGGCAAATATTCAATGCCTTGATTGTAGGTGAACTATAAATCCCAGCAACTACAACTCCCAAATTTCATGGTCTATTTTCCCTAAACTCTACCAGTGTTCATATTTGGGCATATTGAGTATGCATGCCAAATTTGGTCCAAATCCATCACTGAGTCCACTGTGCTCTCTGGATGTAAGTGAACTACAACTCAGGGTCAATGCCCACCATACTCTTCCAGTATTTCCTGTTCGTTATGGGAGTCCTGTTTGCCAAGTTTGGTTCAATTGCATTGTTGGTGGAGTTCAGAATACTCTTTGAATGGGATTTTATTTATTTATTTCCACCATTTATATACCACCTTTCTCACCCCTGGGGTTGACTATTCATTCCCAGCAACTACAACTCCTAAATGACAAAATCAATCCCACCTAACCCCACCAGTATTCAGATTTGGGCATATTGGGTATTTGTGCCGAATTTGGTCCAGTGAATGAAAATACACCCTGCAAATCAGATATATACATTATGATTCATATCAGTAGCAAAATGGGCTATATGTCAGAGAAAAGCAATGACCAACCACTGCTAAGCATTTTTGCCTTTAAAAACTCTATGGATCTCATTGAGTCATTAGTCAGTAGGTATTTTCTTTCATGTTAGGAGCGACTTGAGAACTGCAAGTCGCTTCTGATGTGAGAGAATTGGCCATCTGCAAGGATGTTGCCCAGGGGACGCCAGGATGTTTGATGTTTACCTTCCTTGTGGGAGGATTCTCTCATGTCCCTGCATGGGGAGCTGAAGCTGACAGAGGGAGCTCACCTGCTCTTCCTGGATTTCAACCTCTGACAGTCATCAGTCCTGCCGGCACAAGGGTTTAACCCATTGCACCACCGGGGGCTCCTGCCAATAGGTGACAAGACGGTACATACAGAGAGACAAAAATTCTGTGCCCTTTTCCACAGGAGGAAACCTCCACCAAGTTTCAGCACTTTTGTCACTGTTAGCATCTTGTTTTCAGGAAATAAGTTATTTATCCTATAACAGATGCCCTCTAGTTTCCAAGGCTCTTTTGGCATTTCATTTTCAGGAAACAGGTTATTTATCCTTCTACAGATGTCCCTTAGTTTCCAAGGCTTTCATGCTCAGTTGCACATTGCTGGCTTGTGCATTTCCCCACTCCCTCCATCGACATTCTTCACTCTGTTTCTATTTCAGAGCTAATTGGGGTTGGTGTTACATCTGATGTAAAACCCAAGCTGTAACCAGATTTGCAAAACGAATTATAACTCTGTTTACAAACTAGCTTGGCATTATCTATGGTTACTAAAATGCAAAAGTAGAGGAAACAAGTTGGTCTTGTACTGTGTTTTCTAATACATTGCTGTATCAGAACTAAGATATGGAGAACCATGTTCCTTGTCCTATTGAAACTGTCTGAAGTTTCCAAAATGAGCGCCTGTTCTGGAGGTGATAACAAGCAGGATGCGAAATTAATCATACCCGTTATGTCTGTCCCTGTAGAAGTTTATAAGAGAGTCAAGGAAAGGAATTCGCGTAGTCTACACTCCCTGAAAAAGAAAACTTTCTCAGTACTCTTTTCTTTAGTCTGTGCAGTATGGTTTTTGCATAAACCTGACATTGTAGATATCTACAGTGGCTTAACCCGCTGCCACTGAGCTGCTGAACTTGCTGACTGAAAGGTTGGCAATTCGAATCCGGGGAGTGGGGTGAGCTCCTGCTGTTAGCTCCAGCTTCTGCAACCTAGCAGTTCAAAAACATGCAAATGTGACTAGCATGGTTTTAAATAGTATATTTTAATATTTTGATAAATGTTTTTAATGTTTATGTATGCATATAAGAATGTGTGTCCTGGCATTGAATGTTTGCCGTATATGTGCTGTGCTCCGCCCCTTTGGGGTGAGAAGGGCAGAATATAAATGTTTTCAATAAATAAATAAAAGATCAATAGATACTGCTTCTGTGGGAAGGTAATTCAGTCATGCTGGCCACATGATCAGGGAGATGTCTATAGACAACGCCGGCTCTTTGGCTTAGAAATGGAGATGAGCATCAATCCCAGAGTCGGACACGACTAGACTTAAGGGGAAACCTTTACCTTTACTTTGTGAAAATTGCACCAGGCACAGAACTAGGGTGTCAAGCAAAAGCATTGCTCACTTTCATTTTTCTTTCATGTGCAGACATGCGATTAGCTTTTGTACTTCGCTGAGAATCTTCTATGCATATTACGTTGCCATATACAAACCATTAAAGATCCAAAATGCAATATTTTTAGCGCATCACTACCTTGTTTATGAATTGTATTTGACAATAGTGTTCAAGAATCAATATGTAAAATTAAAATACCTTCCCAATAACCTAATTACACCCCGTTGGTTTCAGCCTTCCTGCTTTGTGCCCTGGTGCGCTGTCACCCGTGTTGAAACACAGACAGTCTACAGTGTTGACAGTGACCTTTGGGTAGCCAGGGCAGCTTGTTTAGTAAGGCTTGGAAGCCGTCAGCCCAACACAGCCTTCTGCCTTCCATTCACCCTGCCAGTTGGCTCAGGAAGAGGAAGGGATGACAGCTGTGCTCTGGATTGCTGGGGGAGGGGATAGGTTTCATTCAAGGAAAGCAGGCTCTGACAGAGAATGCTGTGTAAAGCTGGTACAATAATTATGCACGTGGAAATGTAGACTTAAATTATGTTGTTTTTCCCAGCTACAGTAGGTCTACTGAATCAATGGGAACTTCGTGAATCAACATTTAGGACTTATCTATACCCTGGTTCTGATTAGACGTTGCTCCTGGACATCCAGACGATGTCCAGGGACTTCCAATTATGAACACAGGATAAAACTGAATTAGGGTAATTTGAGCAAATTAGAACTGATCTACTGTCCACACAGCCAGGTGCTGCTGTTCCCTTCTCCCTGCACTCCACAAGTGGATTGGATTCACATCATCCCTGTTGCCTCCCCTCCCCTTCTCCCTCGTCATATGGGCATCTTTGCTGGGAACTCTGTGGAACACTGTGACAGCTGCTGCAGTGATAGGGACAACAGTCCAGGTAAAGGTGTCTGTCCAACAGGGCCACACCGTATTCAACCTGACTGGTCAGTCTGGACTTCATTCTCATCACTGTCTCACCTCAGAGACAGAACATGTAATGATTTTTTTTTTGTCATGTCAGGAGCGACTTGAGAAACTCCATTCTAGCAAGCTGTATTCATATTACATTTTTTTTTGTCATGTCAGGAGCGACTTGAGAAATTGCAAGTCGCTTCTGGTGTGAGAGAATTGGCCGTCTGCAAGGACGTTGCCCAGGAGATGCCCGGATGTTTTGATGTTTTATCATCCTTGTGGGAGGCTTCTCTCATGTCTCCGCATGAGGAGCTGGAGCTGATAGAGAGAGCTCATCCGCGCTCTCCCCGGATTCGAACCTGCGACCTCTCGGTCTTCAGTCCTGGCGGCACAGGGTTTTAACCCACTGTGCCACCGGGGGCTCCTATTTTAAATGATAGTTATATGTATATACATATACAAAGGAAAATCATAATAACTGAACATAACATATAACTATCTATTTTAATTGATAGTTATATGTTATTGTTCAGTTATTACGATTTTCCTTTATATATGTATATGGCATTGAATGTTTGTTAATACGTTGCAAACTGCCTTGAGTCCCTTGCTAGGGTGAGAAAGGTGGTATATAAATATAGTAAATAGATAAATAAATAAATGTAAACAGATCTGTTGAACCTGTAATGGCTCCAGTGCAGCAATGCTCCAGTATGACACCAGGTGTACATGCAGAATCCTTAATCCCAACTAGAGTAGGCTTGCTGAAACAATTGAACTTACTAAATATTGATTCACCAATGTACCATGGAATTAATTATCCTGTTCTAGTTTGGACTTACAAATTAGGCCTTTGAGTGCCTGATAGGTATGGGAGCCAATGTTGGACTAGGATCCTGGGAGAAAAAGGTTCAAGTTTCTGCCTGATCATAGAAATCCACTGGTGACCATGGGCAAGTCACGCTCTCTCTGCTCACAGGAAGGCAAAGGCAAAATACCTCTGAAGAAATCTTACTGAGAAAAACTTGTTGACAGTTCATCTTAGGGTTACCATAAGAACAACTTGAAGGCATGCAGCAACAACTTGCAGGCTACATAGGCCAGGTTTTGAGGATTTCATATATACTTTCCAAGTTTATTATTGACTTCATATAGTTGGTCCATGTGGACTTGCATGTCTCCTGGGACACTCAGGGTAGCAAGGACGTTAAATGCACATTGAATTCTACCACATCTCATCTCACAGCTACTCAGAGTTGAATGGGAGCTCAACTGGTGCTGCTGGGCTCTTACTGGCATGCACAGAGATCCTACTCAGCTTACAGCAGCTGCAGGAGGAATAGCAACAGAATCTAGAAAAGACTCACAGTGGCTCCACTGGCCAGCCTAGTGAGGGCGGCACAGACTGTGGCACAGAGAACAATAGTATCGTCTCTGTATGATTTTTTCCTTCAACTTCATTCTTTTGATGTGCTACAATGAACGCCTTGCATAAAGTGAAGCTAATGAAATCTTTCTTCAATGCAAATATTTGAAGGGGAGGAGGAGATGGATCCTAGCCATATATTTTTGTAGTATTCAGCCAGAACCACAGGAAGCTCCTGTGCTGACATGATCTGTGAATTGAATTACAATATTCTGTGATTTTTCCCCCTTCTGGCTTCTACCAACAAAGTAAGTAGGAATTACTTCTCCCATTTAAAAGAGGGGAGAGGTGGAAGGAATTTGCCTGTAGGCCATTCATTTCATTAGTGGCAGGATTGGCATAGTTACTATAGGAAAGCAAAATTGTGTGAGAGTAATATTTAGATTTATTTTGTGTCAAAAGCATTGCATAAAATAGCTTATCTAAAACTGATTAAATAGTTTATCTAAAACTGATTAAATAAAGAGATCACAAGCTGCTAGATAGTTTAAGACCAAAAACAGGCAACAGCGATTGCATTGATCTGTAGCTTTAAACAATCCTTCCTCTGTGCATGAGGCAGGGCATTGCGGACAAGCATACAGGTGCAGAGTTGTTTGTTCTGCTCCACAGTCCCACAAGGTGGAAGATTCTTTTACGTAGTGCCATTTTGCCAGGTTGTTTTTTGATCTGCCAATTCCGCTTCTGAGTCTGTTCAGGGACTTCCAGGTTGCCCATTCTTAGTTTGCCCCTGGAGAAAGACCCTCAAGGGGGGGGGGTCATTCAGTTGAAATTGCCTGGTTTTGCTGCCTACAGGGATATTTTTGCTGTTGCTGGAGGAACATATAGAGGAGTGGTGGTTCTCATGAAACCTTTCCTTGATTTAAGTCTACTGAGAGGAGGTTGATAGCCATATAGTGGGTGGCTTTCACAATGTTCAACCTTATTTGTCTCACAATTGGCAGCAATTTCTTGTCACACATCCGGGGGGAGGGGGGGGGAGTGCCAGCTAGCTTATAGAGTCTATCAACACGTGTAGGTTTAAGACATCCTGTGATTATTCTACATGTCTCATTTAGTGCTATACTCACCAGCTTTACAATATTTAGACGCCTACAAATGTCTTGTTAGTCCTCAGACACCAATTTTGATCCTAAAAAGATGAGTTAAAATAATTAAATATTTTTCCATTCATTAAAACTCTCACTTTGCTTCCTTTAGAAATACATCTTTTGAAGTTAATTCATATAATAGCTAGTTGAACTTGGTTTTCACTAGTCCATTCTGGATGCATTGTATGATGAAGGAATATGTCTGAAGTCATCTCATATCAGTCCAGAGTATCTGAAAGGCCTCATCTCCCCATTTGCCATTTCTGAGCTGCCTGAGTTCTCAAGTTTGATTTTCAAAAAAGGATAAGACATGATGAACAGATGAAATAATGGAATGTTTCTCATTGCATTGTTTGCCACGAGAAACCTTCCATTACTTCTTTAGGACTGTGAAATGACTTAGTGAAGACATTCTGCACTTGACTGATACGAAATTACTGGAATACAGGAAAAGGAGTACGTATTCCAGTAACTCCATATTAGTCAAGTGAGAATGAAAAAATATTAGGAAAGGCATTCTTTGTGTAGGTTGTGTATATTGTTCTTGTGTTGCTAGAGTGTGTGCTTGGAAGAAAATGTCCATTTACAATTCCCTTCGTTCAGATAATGTATTCCTTGGCTCCGATCTAGTGAGTGAATTAATATTGTAAAAGGTGTATGTGTGGAAATCTGTTAGGTGATGCTGATGTTATTATGGTAGAGCAGGACCACACATGAGGTACAGGCCAATGTGCTTTTGCATTTTAGAGGAGCCTAAAATGTAGGGCTTTTGCCTCTACTAGAAGAGAAAAATGAATTAGGACTGATTTAATTGAAGATTTAGTCCTCTTTCTCCCTTTTTTAAACTCAGTGAAATTAGTCAGGTGAATTGGCTGATGGGTGGTAGTTTGAACAAAAATGTTTAGTACAACTCTTAAAAATGCAAAAACTGTTGGAGGAAAATATTTAGGATGACATCATAGTTTTGTTGGTTCTCTTTCACACAGGACAAAAATAGAGAAAGAGAAAAAAGAACATGCAAAATTACACGGAATGATCCGGACAGAAATAAGTGGGGCTGAAATAGCTGAAGAGATGGAAAAAGAGCGGAGGTTCTTTCAGCTACAAATGTGCGAGGTAAGAGTGAACGTGTTGCTCAGTTAATTCTGTTCTAACACTTTATATTGCAATGTGAGCTTTCTGTGAAAGTCTTCGTCAAAGGACTGATCCGTTTGTTCCAATTTCAGAAAAGACACAATTTGTGATATGTTTGTCAGTGATAAATTGGCAGACTGACCATATAGCCTATTACGTGCAGATTATAAACAAACAAAGGCAGAGCCTTTATGCAGCCATCCCATCGTCAGCTTAAAAGATTGTCTCCTGTGCCCATTCAAGTTACCATCTGCCACAGGACTAAGAGATGAAAATCTCAATTTACTTGGTTAAGTAAGAACATTTGCCAGCTGTTGGAGAGAGATTGCTGGTGCCCTGTAGCACGATAACTAGCATGCTGCCTACTGGTTTTCTTCATAACCATTTTAGTGCATTAATTTCAGTTTTAAGCAAACATTATTGTACTCCATTCTGTACTCATATATAAGACACAAGTTTTGCCACTCATTTCTGAACAGCTCTAATCGTGGTTTGCTTCAATGTCTGAATCAGGCAAGCTGATGTTTGGTGCCATGTTTCGAAATTAGTTTGGGCAGATACTGCCGTATAATGAGAGACAAAGAGTGACTGCCATAGGCCACAGATGCTGGCTAGATGAGAGCAGCGGAAGCAGTTTTCCAGATGTACCTTCTGTACTTCTGGATGATTTGCTATTGTTTAAGAACAAAGCATTGTCTGCTACACAGCCTATCCATTTTGGCCCTCTGAACTGCCCTGCTGCCTTAGGAGGGTTGAAAAATGCTCAGACCATTGCATTTGATTTTCCATGAAAGCGAACTGAGGCTTAAAATTCTACAACAGAGAGTTTTATAATATAGTAGAGTCTCGCTTATCCAACCTAAATGGGCCAAACAGAAATTTGGATAAGCGAAAACGTTGGATAATAAGGAGGAATTTAGGAAAAGCCTATTAAATGTCAAATTACATTATGATTTTACAAATTAAGCATCAAAGCATCATGTTTTACAACGAATTGACAGAAAAAAGCAGTTCTGTATATGGTAACATTACATAGTAATTACTGTATTTACAAATTTAGCACCAAAACATTGCAATGAATTGAAACAGCTGGGACCCGGGCAGGAGTCAGATTGCGTTGGATAATACAGAATGTTTGGTGAGCGAAGGTTGGATAAGCCATACAAACAAAAACAATAAAATCACAATTAAAACATTAACTAAACAATAAATTAAAAACTTCCATTTAAAAGTTAACGAATCCAAATTCACATCCAAAGTCATAGTTTAGTGTTTTATTTATTAAAATAATGAAAGGATAACTGTCTTCAACTACTCTGTGGAAAGACAGTGCCTTGTACACTGTGATAGAAAAGAAAGAAAATTTGTTGTTGCACGTGTGTTTATTGGGGAAGTTCATTATAAGTCATTTGTAGCCATAGATAGTGGGTAGTCATAGATAGTTGGTAGTTGGCATCGGTTTTTTTAATCCAAATTTTAAAATTTAGGAAAAAGCAGATGGTGCACAGCTTTATTTACACGAATAAACACGAATCGTATCAAGTGCTTAGGCAATTTCTGCTTAATATATGCATAGCTGATTCATGAAGATTTGTTTCCTGAGTCAATTAACATGTGCCTCCTCTACCAAGGATGTTGTCTCTAGTACATTAAGAAAGTTTTGCAGAGCTGTAATCAATATTTTGCTATTTAAACTAGGACTGAACAGCAACACCAATGTAATTCCTTGCTTAATTATGTTAACATCCATGTCCTCAGTGGAGGGGAATGTCAACCTTAACCCATTCACTTAGGTTTCTACCACACAGCTGAATAAAATCTCACATTATCTGCTTTGAACTGGAATATATGGTAGTGCAGGCTCAGATAACCCAGTTTAAAGCAGATATTCATTCTTGGCATGGGGTTGGACTGGATGGCCCACGAGGTCTCTTCCAACTCTATGATTCTATGATTGTGGGATTTTCTGCCTTGATGTTCTGGGTTATATAGCTATGTGGAAGGACCCTTAGATTCAAACTGTATATTCTCAGTATGTTTAGATCTCAGGCTAAAATTCTCTTTTTGTTCAGTCTTGGAAAATATTTCTAGTACTGTTGGAAATTATAGCTACAAGAAACTCCTGTTGGAAACACTTTGTGTATTCTAGAGTGTTTTTGATGTGTAGGAAAGGAGGCCTTGTTTAATATAGTTTTGAGTATGCAGGATAAGTCCCTTGTATCACAGCTTGTTGTTTAATTTGGTTTTGTTGGATGAGTGAAGAAACTTCCTCAGCAGGTATTTCACGATGGGCAATGTCACTCCACTTGATGACATTACTCAGACTATTAGCACTGTGTATAGAGTCATTTAACTGTCACTAAGCAAGTTCTATTCTAATACAACAGTTAATATTATTTTCGTGTTTGTTTTATTATCTTGGCAGTACCTGTTAAAAGTGAATGAAATCAAGATTAAAAAGGGAGTTGACTTGCTTCAAAACCTGATCAAGTATTTCCACGCACAATGCAAGTACGTTTTACAATATGGTAAAATGTGTGCTATTAATAATGTTTTCTTTAAAAAAATTGTATACAAATCTGCATTATCCACTTGTCCATTTTATTGCTGTTTTTCCGCAGGGTTGAATAGTTTAAACGTCAGTCATTGTCTTGTTAGTGTATTATTTCAGATGAAATAAAGTGTCAGACTGAGATAATACAAGGCATTATCATTCATAATTTCCACATGGCCATTTGGCATGAGTAGTAATTGCATTGCAAAAAGGATGAACTACAAGCTGCTTTCATATTTTGCAGAATGTGGCCTGTGACAGACACAAGTTCTCTCCCCCCCCCCCCCCCCCAGAAAGAAAGAAATAGTTAGGATTTACAGAAAAGGAAGAACTAGACTGTTGAGCTTAGAAAGCAATAGGAACAGATATCTTAATTTTGCAATATGTTTTTTTTAACAAGATAAGAATTAATGTACAGTATTTACATTTATCCATGGATAAGTCAACCAATTTTTTGGATGAATTATTAACTGAAATTTCTAACCTTTTACTGTACCTAGTTTTTACTTGTGTAGCCAGGTAATTTAGTTATGTCTGTCACATTATGGAAATACATTTATTCCATATAACATGTTAATAATCATTAGTGGCTTCCACAGTCTGGAGTGGGAAGAAGAAACTTATTTCCCAATGTGATCGCTGTTATGAATACTTCAGGATACATTTACTCAGACATAAAACAAAACAAAAAACACCTCACCTGCCAGCTCTCTCAGTGCTTCTGCATAGAAAAGCACAGCCGATAGGTTGGTTTTGTAATACTCCCCTCTTGCATTCATTTACCGGTATTCAGAAAATTGATCATTTATTTTGCTGAATTCAAGATCACACCAGAATGTCTCTTTCCAATACAGCTAAAAGCATACAATACAGCTCAAAGCATACTTTTTTTTGTTCCATAAGAGATTTCTGGTTGTTGAATTCCTGCTGAGCTGCCAGAGTAATGTCTATATATGTGGATTTCTAAAAATATTTTCATATTTTAATTGCATTTTATCCTTTAAGTGTAAGTTTAAATTGTTTTAATGATGTGTATGGTCTGGTTGCACTTAATATGCTTTTAGCTGTATTGCTGTTTTTAAAATCTAAGAAGTCTTGAAATCCCAAAGGTATTTGATGATGATGGTGATGGTGATGGTGATGATGATGCATGGCATTGCTAAGAACCCCTTCTGAGTATTGAGCATTGTGTTGGTTCCCGGTTGTCTGGAGTTGCAAAGACGATCTACCAGTGCTTGAATGTTTCCTTTATCAATGAAAGCTGAGATTCTCAAAGAAGGTATATAGCAGGGATGGGCCATTGTAGCAGTCCCACTTTTCTGTCCCAGAGACCCTCTAAATCAGTGGTTCTCAACCTGTGGGTCCCCAGGTATTTTGGCCTACAACTCCCAGAAATCCCAGCAAATTTACCAGCTGTTAGGATTTCTGGAAGTTGAAGGCCATAACATCTGGGGACCCACAGGTTGAGAAACACTGGTCTAGATCTAGAAGAGGGATGGTCAGTTGCAGGGGCTATATTAGATCCCCAGGAAGTCTTAGAAGATCAGAGCCCCACATTGTGCTCTTTGGTTTTCTTGCTGAACACCCCCAAATGCTCTCTATGGGTTGTATGTTTGTCATTTCCCTTTGGCTGTTGTAGGCCTAGGACAAGATTTTTTTAAATAGCTGGAAGTAACTGGAAATCTTGTCACGGAGCAGTGCGCCAATATTTGCACTGCTCCGTGTTCTGATGAACACAATGCTCCTGCTTCCTAATCCCAGCAAGTTTCACTTAATTTTTATCGTCAATACCTTTAAAAAAAGACTTCTCAGGCTAAAATGGACTGGAAGATGGGCAGAAGAAAACATGTTGAAAATGTTCTCAAACTCAAAAATGCATTCCTGGTGGGCACAAAAATGGTCCTTGCCTTTTTATTTATTTACAGTATTTATATTCCGCACTTCTCACCCTGCAGAGGACTCAAGGTGGATTACAGTGCACAGATACATGGCAAACATTCAGTGCCATAGACACACAACATATACAGACAAACACAGAGGCAATTGAAGCTTCATGAGGGTATTCTCGAATTCTCGCCAGCAGTGAAGCTGTCACTTCACGGTCCACTTGTGACACCAAGTCCTTGATGGAGTCTTCCTCATTCTTTCACCTGCTGCTGGAGATTTTTATGGTGTTGTAAATTAGTTAAATTGGCCTCCCGCATAAGTGGTACCTAAATTTCCTACTTGACTGTCTTTTGGGCTGCAAAAGTCGGCAGCAAGCTAGACAAATGGTTGGAAGCTTACTCTGACTGTCATCGAACTCATGACCTTTTGGTCACTGGTGATTTAATACAGCTGACTCCTAGCCAACTGTGCTACAGCCTGCTCTAGATGCAACAGTGTGTATACAAACCATAAAAACCAGGAGTAGGAAGAAGTCCACTCTTAGGGCCCTTCCACTCTGCCCTTTATCCCAGGATCTGATCCCAAATGATCTACTTTAAACTGCAATATATAAGTCCCCACTGCCAGGTAACCTGCGATAAACAAATAATCTGGGATCAGATCCTAGGATATAGGGACAGTGTGGAAGGTCCCTTAGGTTGAGAAAGCAGGTATTTTAAACATTTTATACAATGGAAGGTGTGTGAAGCTGCAGCCAGTTTGAAAAGTGGATTTCTATTGTTGAAGGCTACCAGAAAAGGCAATACATTCACTTTTTGAAACTAGAAAAAAAGTTAAGTTTGAGGAAAGATCAAGGGTTGTGTAAACAGCCTTGAAACCACATGGAGTCCTTGAACCATATTTTGCCCATAATGTTATAAACTATCTGTACCTCATGCAGGATCAAGGACTATAAATATTGTTCTCAATGGCTGCTGTGCTGGTGATGTCTCTGTGTTTTGATTCTACTGCGGCAAGCCTGCACATGTAAGATAAAATAACCTGGCCACTCAGGACTCCCTGGAGATGTGTTTGTACACTTGGAGCTATGAAATAAATACGGGCTTCCCTTTAATTCACCCTCAGAGGGTTTGCCAAATGGAGTTGGCCTCAGCACAGAAGTGAATGGAAAGCCTTTGCTTAATTCTGCCTAAATTGAGAGCTCTTGACTGTCGAAGGAACTGCTGAATCAGAGCTGCTCTGTGTTCAAGCTGAAACACAGATTCTTTTGATTCCCTTTGATTCCTACAATATGCAACGCATGTAGCATGAGCCAGTTTTGGCTGTTCTTACAGAGCTTGGATCAATAGTGACTTTCATGTAAATGAACCAGAATAACAGAGTTGACAGTAAAATGCAGTGTTTGAAGTTAATTTTTGTTCGCCCAAGATTGTAAGAAGGAAAGAGAGTGGATATACTCAGTATGACTGTGATCCAAGACAGTATAAATACACTTCTAAAATTATATCCCTGTGTATAGAGAGATGCTCATATACCTCTGATTGTTGTAGCTCGTTCTGGCAGCTTTGTTTTGTTGCATGAGGGACTGCAGTAGTGAAAATGACTGTTTTGAATCTCAGCCAACAACTGCATCATGTTGTCATGAACTATATTTTTTATTTTATGTAGGACTCTCTTCACATATAAGCTGTGCTGCAAGCTATACCAATCTCTCTCTMTTTTTTTAAATAGTTTTTMTTAAATACATTTTCTCTTTTGCATATACATAAAACCAGAGGGGGAGGGGTTGGGGTACTGTTTGGCCAAGTCTATACATAGAGTTCCAAAATAGGGGGAGCAGGGGAGGGAGRGGGAAGTGCAGGGTCCACAAAGGATGGGGGTGGTAGGAGTAAGGTGAGGAGGGGGGGGGCTTGTCAGCTTCCAATCTTCTTCTCCATTTTTCCTCTATTCTTCTGTTTCCTTTTGCCTGTAAAGAAAAAATCTTCACTCCACTTCTATTGTACTCTTAATATTACTTTTTTTTCCTTCTAATTTCTGTCTCATCTATATTGCTTTCCTATATCCTATTATTCCTTTTATTTTCAACAGTTTTTCGGTTTGTTTTCTTCGGCGATGAAATCATCCACCAATTTCCAGTTTGTCTTAATAATAGGTCTGCCGTGGGATTCTTTGAGGGCAAACGTTAATTTGTCCACGCCCCCTWAATTTCTTGAATTTTGTTTAGCCATTCTTCTTTCGTTGGGAGTTCACTTTGTTTCCAGCTATACCAATCTCTTTTGCTCTTCATTAAGCTTTGGGAATTGGTTAATCTTTCCATTTTTGATCCCCCTGTCCAAATGAAAAGTGGATGCAGAATAGTTTTAGAACAGTGGTTTATTTAATTATTATTTATTTATTTTGTTTATATACTGCTTTTCTCAACCCCTGGGGAGGGGGGGGGGACTCAAAGCAGTTCACAACAAAGCAATTGGCAAAATTCAATGCCTCACAAAGTATGCAATTCGCCCCATAACTAAAAAGCATATAAAATGAATTAAAACCAGTGAAGTATAAAACTTCTGAGGTAGACAACATAAAACATAAAAGCTGTGGTCCATGGACCACCAGTGGTCAGCAAAGACGACAATATGGTCCACGGCCTCACCATTATTACAACGTTGCCTTGAAATTACGGAGCAACAAGCATGACTGGTCTCCCGAAACCCTCTTATAGTGCCAAGGCAACAGGGAAATCAGGAGGGGAGAAGCTGAATACTCACAAAAGATTACTACTACCACATCAGCTCTAGATTATTAAATATAGTTTTCTTTGGACAAGCAGATGGCGACTACTGGGTGGCATATGTTCTGTATCAGAAACTAGAGCTGATGTGGTCTATCCAGTGCACTTTTCTGAATCAACACTCCAAATAACCAAACCGAATCTAAAGTTGACCAAAACCTGATTCATAACCCTTTTGGTACTAATTTAGGAGAGTAGTCCCTGGTCAATGAGGTCCCTGGTCAAAAATGGTTGGAAACTACTGATTAAGAACAAATATTTCAGCAAAATATGATTATATCTTTTTCTCAGATTCTTAGGGATTTAAGGGTGTAGTTCTGGAATTAGAGTTGTACTTCTCTTCTCATTTTGAACATTGTTGTCATGAAAATCTCTTCATAGGAAATCCCAATTCAGTCATACTTATGAGAGACCTGTGAATGCAAGTTAGTCCTTACAGACTTTTATCGCTGGTTTCATTGGTTCTGCTCTTGGCAGTCTTTGAGTCCCTGCCACCCCACACTGCTATAATATGTTATTCTGTTCAAAATATGCCTCACGTGCACACATGACCATAGCTGATTCTCGATGCTATTTTATTGCATCCTCACCGTATTGTCATCATCATTTATTTATACAGCACCATCACTTTACATGGAGGTTTACAAGAAAAGGAAGGAGGAACAACAATCCTCTGCCCTCAGGCATATGCACTTTAATGGTGGAGCTTCCACAGATTTTTCATCTGCACTAATGCCATTATCATTGTCCTGTTTGGTTTCCTAGTTAAACTCTCTCTCTCCCTCTCTCCCTCTCCCTCTCCCTCCCCCCCTCTCTATATATAAAGCTGTGATAATGCAATTGCATCATGACATCATTATAACTTGCCTACCACTGCCCAGATTTTGCATTGTGAGAGACAAAGCATGAAAAAAAAAAAACAGATCCTGCCACCCACTACTGCTTTTTATACATTTTCCTATGAAAAACAAATATGGTTATCACACTAGACAATTGTTTCAGCTTGTCCTGTTAAAAAAAATGCAACCGTACCCTTCCCCTATACAACAGATAATGATGTATTTCACACTCATCACATTTTAGCTTTAAGTTAAACATCTAAAAAAGGGTTTCATGAGCATAGAGGGTCAGGAAACACAACTATTCTCCTGGGAAGTCTCCTCCTTCTCTTCCTCCAAGCATTGGAAGAGATTTGAGGTTATCCTGCTGGAGATTTCCTTGGAGGTCCGAAGAAAAAGCCAAGCAGACCACACCTTGCCCAGTATCCAGTCATCCTGACAATGAAACAAACTGAGGCATTTGCACTTAAGCTCATTATTGACACCTAGCTGCAAAGGCGTCATTCATGGGTTATTCCCCTTCTCAAATTCCCAGTGACCCTACAGTACACTAGGAGATCCACGATGTCATGTGATAAGATGGAAGCAAAGGTTGGATTAACTGTTTCTCTAACAGTGTGAACACATTATTCGGTAATCACCAAAGTCTGAGGGTGCATCCACAGTGTAGGATGAATGCAGTTTGATACCCTGTCAACTGCCATGCTTCAATGCTGTAGACTTATGGGTGTTGTAGTTCCACAGTACCTTTGGCCTTCTCTGCCAAAGAGTGCTCATACCTCACTACAACTCCTAGTATTCCATAATATTGAGCTGTGACAGTTAAAGTTGTGTCCAACTGCGTACTATGGTGTAGATGCACCTCAAGTTCAATCTATGGAATCTCAAAAGAGAGGAATTTTTGACAGTTGTCTTCACATCAAAACTGTTGAATATTACCTGTCTTAACAAAAAAAGAGAGAGATTTTACATTGTGGAGGTGGTTTAGAAAATGTATTTGTGATCATTTTTAAAATAGACTTTGACATTGCAACGTTGGATCATCCATGTACCGCTGAGCAACATTTTCATGTCTTGAATATTTAGAAAGTTCAGTTACTGTAAATTAATTTGCACCATTTGCTTTTTTTCTATAAGTTTTTTATTCTTCCAAAGCTTCTTTCAGGATGGTCTGAAAGCAGTTGAAAGCCTCAAACCTTCAATAGAGAAGCTCTCTACAGACCTACACACAGTGAGTTGCCATATGTCTGTTGTATTACCTATTTATTCTGTGCATGTCTTCCCTTTCTGAGAAACGGAATTAGGAGAACATTTCGTTCTTCTGAAAAGGAAGAAGGGGCCTATAAAAGAGGAAACTCTGAGCTGATTAAAAAGAGTCTTAAAGTAATTTTTTCTCGTCTAAGGCCCCTTCTACACTGCCATATAAAATGCAGATTATCTGCCCTGAACTGGATTATATGGCCATGTAGACATGCTTGGATTTTCTCTGTATTTGATAGGGATTTTCTGTTTCCCTCGGCAAGGAAACCCTGATTTCTGAAAGTGAATAACAGTGTTACCTCTGCATCTGTCCAAACTACGTACTGACTCATACATTTTGTTATATCTCCACTCCAGATAAAGCAAGTGCAGGACGAAGAAAGAAAGCAATTAATTCAACTTAGGGATATTTTAAAATCTGCTCTTCAGGTTGATCAGAAAGAGGTGAGCATGTAAGGTGGTTTAACATACTTTTCTGATTCTGTGGAAATGTTTACAATTTTACTGACTGCATGAAATAGTGCTTTTATAGGAATGAGTGTTTGGTGAAATTATATTACAAAACAGATTTTCTGCAAGGCTTTCTGTCTTTCTCACCCTTTTCCTCCTCAAAGATTTCTCTGTGTGTGTCCCACTGAAACATTTTAGTACAGATTCTGCAACTGCTGGTTTTTAAATTATCAAGGGAGAGTCAAACTACCACATTTTGCATATATGTGATAGGTTTTGGAAAGTTTCCCAGAAAATGGAACAAGTAAAAAACAGTTTTTTGCAGGATGATGTTTTAATTCATACTGGTTTTTCAAGGACAAATGCTCTGCGGTAGATCCTGTATCTGCTTTGTACAATTAGACAAATGGGACATACAGACAAAAATCAAAGAACTATTATTTAAAAGTCTATGCAATACGTCATATAAATCATAACGGTGGAACTGGCCCTGGTTTTCTTTTCTAATTGGAGGAACAACCTGGTGCACACAAGCAAAAAGTAAAGTAACATATTTCATCGCTTAACAGTTGCACTCCCCCCCCCTTTTTTGTGAAAAAAGGGTTATTTATTTATTTGTCGTGTCAGAGCAACCAGTCAAACCAGTGAAAAAAGGGTGTAACTATGTTGCAATGGTGGCTATTACACCTCTCTGAGGAGCTTTTTCAGTATGTAAGAGTCCCTTTAAGGGACACATCAAAGTGGCTTTCAAATGCCCTAGCTTAAATGTAAACCCTTAGTGTTTACCAAAGAAGGGAAGAAGAGGGTAGGAAGACAAAGAGTGTGCCTTTGTGGTGGTAGAAATGTAATGGTGCCTAGTGTGAAATGAATTAGTAGTATTTGAGTCCAGAATATATTCTGTGGTACCTTGGGTACCATTCAAGTGTGCACAGAAAAACATACTTTCAGATTTGTATGTCCTTTTGGGACACTAATATATAAATAACTCATTGCTATATGTCTCTGAGATGCTCTCTGATATGGGTCTTTTCTGCACTGCAACTGATTTTCTCTTCTTCCTAAAATGCGCTTGCCTTTTGTGACCGAAGTCTAGGAGAGTAAGTCTTTTGAATATTTTTGTAAACAGTGTATTACAATGTTGTCATGTGCTTTTCAGTAACTGGAGTTCTCTTCTTAAAGAAACAGTTTGCCAAATTATCTCTTCACAAGGATATATTGTTGTTTTTTATCCTTGTTGTAAACCGCGTTGAGTCGCCTGTTGGGCTGAGAAACTGCGGTATACAAGTAAAGTAAATAAGTAAATAAATAAATATATAACCATTTTATTGGATGAACTAAATGCAAACCAAACTACTCTTGGAAGAGATTGCAGTTTAGATTCTTCTTTGTGCTGGTGCTTATATACCCAATAATCACAAGATGAATGTATCAGCAAACTGGGGGGGGGGGGTGGGTTATGACACCCTAAGGTTTCCATAAGTACCCATCTCCCCTTCAAAAAAAGAGCAGGGACCATTGAAAAAAGTAGACTTCTTAGCCCCTCCTCCCCAAACACACAGCAAAATAAAACTTTCCAGAAAAAAGGAGGGAAAGGAAAATGGATTGGAATATCTGGAATCCCAACTAGAGTATTTTGTGACACTTCTTCAAAAACCAATTCTTTGCTGAAATCCAGTTGCTTGTTTTTGTCACATTAGGACTCCCATGGTCTTTCATTGCGTTTTGTATTTTATACAAATGTTTCTTCTGCTCCATATTTATCATTTAAAGTCTGAAGCACAAAAAATATTCCCATACAGTACCTTTCAAAAGTATTCATCCGCTTTTGATTTTCATCAGGTTTGATTGTGTTACATTGATATGAATTAAATAGACATAATTAAACAGACTTTATTACGGTCACTGATCAGCACAAAGCGGGGCACAAGCACCCTGGGAGGGGAAGGACAACTTTTTTGGCGGGGGGGAGTTGGGGTGGCCCCATGCCATTCTGGTAGTTACTGTGATGGCATGACAACAGCCTCCCCCCAGGAAAACCTGGGTTTTTTGGGGGGAGGTGTGAAGACAAAAATCCACACCGAAGCGGGTTTTCCCCGTGACTGGAAGCGCCCATAGAGTCTGGAATCGTATGTGAAGATATATTGGATTTTAAGAGACACAAGAATTTATCCTTAGCATATTAGAAGAACATGGGTTTTTAATAGTTTGATTTTATGTGCTGTAGATGTAATTCTATGGTTATGATTAGTGGGACCAGAAGAAAGAGGTGGATGAGTTCACATGACACAGGTCACAGTGTTCTGTAATCAACCCTAATTCTCAATGTTTGTAGGATTCTCAGCTCCGCCAGAGTACAACCTATAGTTTACATCAACCTCAGGGAAATAAGGAGCATGGCACTGAAAGAGATGGCAGCCTCTATAAGAAAAGCGATGGGTATGTATAATACTGTTATGTTAGAGAGGAGAGGTGTTAGTTTCTTCTGTAACAATACAAGTTACACCTAATTTATCTTATTTTGTTGTCTTTTTATGAAAACAAAAATCCCAGGATCAGAAAAGTGTGGCAGAAGAGGAAGTGCACCGTTAAAAATGGTTTCCTTACAATTTCCCATGGTACAGTAAGTATTTGTTTATAGTAGTCTATGCACACAGCTTGTTACTAATACCAAAAGCCAAATTGGGATACAGTTGTATTTATAGCTGTGGAACTGACTGAATCTTTTATAAAACATATTTGTTGAAATGACTGCAACTGAGAAGAAGAAGAAAAAAAAAAACCTTGGCAGAATTGCTATGAGAATGAAATAATCTTGATCTGCCTGCCCACTCAACTGCTCTTGTGTCTGATGGTGAATTAATAAAACAAGCAAATATTTGACTTATGCTGATAAAAATATTGAATCCTTTTTCTGTGCAGATAACTGAGGAGACTGTAAGTAACATGCTGTGAAGACACGTGTATTTTTTAAAATGGTAGCCTCATGATTAGAAGGATAACTTTCAGTATTGTATTTCTTTTACAAATATTTAATAGCAACTGGAATAAAAGCTGGGAATTTAAACTTTCTGAGCAAGAGAAGGGAAGTTTCTATATAACAGTAACACTGTAATAATAATAATAATAATAATTATTATTATTATTATTTAAATGAGGATTTTAAAATAGAACCGCAAAGACTCCGGCACAAGCCACTAAGAGTGGTCTCAGTGGTGACTGGCACACAGGGTGGAGTGCCTAAAGACCTTGGCCTGTACTTAAAAACAATCGGTGCTGACAAAATTACCATCTGTCAGCTGCAAAAGGCCACCCTACTTGGATCTGCAGACATTATTTGCCAATACATCACACGTCCTAGACACTTGGGAAGTGTCCGAAGTGTGATACAAAACAACAGCCAGCATAGTGATCTTGTTTGCTCTGTACTAATCTTGTTATGTATCTAATAATAATAATAATAATAATAATAATAATAATAATAATAATACCACACTCTTACCCACATCTCCCTCATTAAAACAGGAGATGAAACACTATTAAAACACATGCAAAAAATACATAGAGTTAAAATACAAGTTAAAATTCACTGATGAAATACAGATTAAAATTGACTGGGTAGACCTGCCGTAAGAGATCAGTCTTTAATTGTACCTAGATGTTCCTATAATTTGTCTGGCTGCCATGTTCTGAACTAATTTGAGTTTCTGAACTTAGTACAAACGTAGCCCAATGTAAACTGCATTGCAGAAGTCCAACCATGAAGTTATCAGTGCTATATTTTTGTTAATGAAATAAAACAAAATCTCTCTTTGATATTGGACCATATACTCAATTAAATGAATGGGAACTGATTTAAAATTATGTGTCTCACTGACTGAAAAATACACGCTGCTAAACAAAACCTTTATATCCAAAATCCCTCCACCTCCCCATATGCCACTTCCCCAACTGAATGTTTGGTGTGTTAGGATAATAGCTGTGAAAATTCATCTCTGGTTCTTCCTGTATACTTATAAGGACAATGAAACGATCATTTACTTGTAAATTAATTGCTTTCAAGCAAAACCTGGTATTGTCCAGACCATCTTTCTCAATGACATGGAAAATGAATACCTCTGCTGTTTCAGAGTCTCTATGTTCATAAGTTACAGTTATAAATATATAATGTATTACCATATCTAGGTTGCTATGTCTATACTCTCATTACCCATTTCTATTCTTCCATAGAAGATAAGGCTAAATCCAGCATTTAGTCATATAGAATCATAAAGTCATAGAGTTGGAAGTCACCTCCAGTCCAACCCCATTCTGCCAAGAATCAGGAAAATCTCCTTCAAAGCATCCCTGACAGATGGTTATCCAGCCTCTGCTTAAAAGCCTCCAAAGAAGGAGGCTCCACTACACTCCAGGGCAGAGAGTTCCACTGCTGAACAGCTCTCACAGTCAGGAAGTTCTTCTAAATGTTCAGGTCGAATCTCCTTTCCTGTAGTTTGAAGCCATTGTTCCACCTCCTAGTCTCCAGGGCAGCAGAAAAGACGCCTTCCTCCTCCTCATGATGACTTTCCCTCACATATTTATACATGGTCCTCATCATGTCTCCTCTCAAATATATTTCCACTCGTTCTTACTGTTTTACAAGAACTAGTAACTTTTCTCTCTCCTTTTGGCTTTTATAGCATTGCTTCTTAAACGGTGGGTCCCGACCCCATTTGGGGTTTCCTTAGCTCAATGTTAAGGTCATGAAACATTTGACAACAGTAAAAGGTTTTTGAATGCCACCCATTTATACAAATCCTTTGGCAACAACATGCAATGTTTACAGTGGACTCTGCAGAAAATGCTTCAGCTATATTCCACAAAAAGGAAAATCAGACTGTTTAGCAAGCCTTGGAAATGCAGATTTATTTTCAATAAATGGTTGATTTTTATACTTATTTCATATACTTCTGTACCAGAGGCAACATAAAAATTTCTCAGACGGAAAGAGGTCGCAAGTGGAAAATGCTAAGAAGCTATTTTTTTTTAGAGAATTGGGGAGTCTGCTAAAGAAGGGGTTTTGGAAGTGGGCCACACTGTGGGATACTGGCCAAGAAAAACACACAACAAGCTGTGTGATATGAGATCACGGAATGTAGATTTTAATATGTTCTAACGTTACATTCAGTTATGATTTTAAACCATTTTATTTAAAAACTGCTTGCGTAACTAATTCAGGGAAATGATTATACTAAAAGGCTGTAGTGTGTGTGATTTCTAATCCAATTTGAAATGTTTCATTTTAAATGACCTTAAATCTATATGATACTCTGCTCTAGAACAGATCCATTGAATAGATGGGATTTAATATGGATTTTGGCTTAACGTTCAGCATTTCATTTCATCGACTCACGCTAGATGGAATGTGTCATTGAATTTAGGTCTAGATTTTTCTTACTATGCATGACAACAAAGATGGAAATATCAAGCAGAGAAATGCCTTCTTTTGCAGTGATACTAAACATAGCAGAAGGATCTTAAGGCTTGGTTTAGTTAAGGACATCCAGGTTCTCTACCTTTCCTGTTTATTTGTGCTTGAATTTCATATTGGAATAAAAAGGTATTGATCTTATTTTCATTTTCAAGGCAGTTTTGTTTAATTTCCCTTTGCCTGTAGTTCATTCTGGCTCAGTTTTTGCTTGATTGTGAACAAACTGCAAGTGTGTACATTCTGTCTCCTATCTTCTCCTCCTCCATATGAACTAGGGATAGAAAGAATATTCAAATGGTAGAAAAATGTGTCTCTTGAGTGTTAAGAGACTGTAATGAGAAACTTAAGATGATGGGAATCTTCACAGTTTGTGACTTTTTAGTGCAAGCTTTGCATATGTATTTTCTGTTGAGGAAACAGGGAAAAGAAAATGCTATTGCCTGTGCAAAAAAATCTGGGTTTTGTGAAAAAAAAGATGTGTGAATTTTGCAAAGAATAAATTTACGCAGACTTGTTGCAAACAAGCCAGTGAGTTAACTTCTGTTTTCTGATTGCTCCAGCTAAACAAATCACTGACTTGAGTCTGTGATTTTTCTTTTAACATCCCAACATGAAGCCATATGACACTCTGGGCCCCCCCCCCCCCCCCAAGAATCCAGATAAACAAACTTATATAGCCCCATGCAAAATTATTTCTCCTGCTTGACGGGACAAAAACAAGCCCGAATGCAAGCTGTTGTTGTATTGCAACTCCATGACAAATATACTGTGGACCATCTAACCCTGGCTTTCAATGCCATTCAAATATACTCAACATATTCCATGAAATATACTCCTAGGTGCATCAGTATAGAATAGTGGTTCTCAACCTGTGGGTCCCCAGATGTTTTGGCCTACAACTCACAGAAATCCCAGTCGGTTTACCAGCTGTTAGGAATTCTGGGATTTGAAGGTCAAAACATCTAGGGACCCACAGGTTGAGAACTACTGGTATAGAAGAAAGTAAAAAAAAGATGAAGCACAGAAATCAGGTTTACTAAAGAGGTTAAAGTCAATGAAAAGGGTTTTTTGGGTTAAGGAAGAACAAAGGACAATGAAATGGTAGGGCCACTAGGTGGAGAGGATGGCAAAATCCTTACAGGAGTCAGAAAAAAGGCAGAACTATTCATCACCTTCTTTGCTGCAGCCTTCTCTAAAAAGGAAAACAGTGCTCATACTTGGGGCAAATCTAGTCTTTGCTGTTGGGTTTTGTGTAAATACATTAGATGTGTGCTTTCCAAACATTTCTGGGCTTGCCATCTTTAAGGCAGGAATAGGAAGAATTCCTATCTAGCATGTGCTGTTAATACGGCTGCATTTTAGGGTGTTCGGCCTGACTTTCTCTTTAGGTCATGCAGTTCTTTTTTCTCGTACTTTTCTAAATTGCCTGAGGGTGAGAAGAATCTGAAAGTTCAAGCTCAATTATTTTAGCCATGCTTGAAGCATCACAAGGCTGGATCTACACTGCCCTGTATCCCAGGATCTGATCCCAGATTATGTGCTTTGAACTGGATTATATGAGTCTCCACTGCCATATCCGGGATAAAAAGATAATCTGCAATCAGATCCTAGGATATAGGGGGCAATGTAGAAGGGGCCTGAAAGGACATCGCTGGAATTTGTTCTTTTTCTTTAAGGTGGCATATAACAAAAACCCCTCAATCACCTCTTAAAGTACACCATTTAAAATGATGGGTGTACAAAATGATAACTTTATATCAGTGTTTGTTGGTAACCATTCCACTCCCTTTCCTCTTTACAGTTTTTCTAGACACGTTTGACAGTCAGGATTTTCATCTGAAGTTAATAGCTATATAGTTTTCCATTTTAGTTCCTGTTTTCCTACTTCCCAATTAAGTGTGCTTATCAAACACTGGAATTTCCTGCAGCTGCAAGTTCTGTTCATACTTCAGGTACCAGAAGTTGCTTTTCAAGCATTCTCTCTTTCTCGAACGTGTACTGAGCATTGAGCAATGATCATGGTGGCACGTTGCCCAGAATCACTTTCTTAGATTAGTTACCTCTGGCTGCTGGCGCTTTCTGGCTAGACCTCAGCCAGACAGACTTGAGTGGCTCTTATTTCAGCCTCTTTTTGATTTGAGTGTTGGAATTACACATGCTCCTTCTTTATTTTTGGCACCTTGTTGCAGTCATTTACCACCATAAGTGGTGCCCCATGCACAATGGAGGACCTTATAGCAACTCCAGAGACACTCCAAGTGGCAGCTACTGGTCAAAGGACATTTAGTATAATGCCAAGTTTTTTAAACTTTGTGTTTTTTAAATATATTACAACTGTACCCTCGGTTTGCTTCTGATACGATAAATAAATACCACCATAGGTGGTAGTAGTAGAACCACATCTTGCTTTTCTAGCAAGGTGTTTGCAATCATGACTATTTATAGAGCTGTGCTAGGGTTCACACCTCTTAGATGTTCATAACACCTTTAATACCAGATGTATTCTCATTGCCATGACTACTGTGTTCAGGGCACACAACCAATCAAAGCAAACATGTTTATTATTGTTCAAGTGTGGAGGCCTAGGCCAAATTAATTTCTAAAGTCGTGTATCTGGATCTTGAAGTTTGTCTGATGTGAGGCTCCTCCTTTTTGACCTTTCTCAGTCAGTTCCTTGTAGAGTGCTAATCCATTTCCAGTTTCCCTTGTAAGGAAAATTGTTGCTTTATTCTTCCTTAACTCAAACATTACATCTTGCTGTTTGCATGTCAGAATTAGGTTGCTCTGTAGGGTGTGATTATTTATGCCACTCTCATCTCAGTCCTGCCTTCTTTCTCCCTTTTTTAAGCATCTTGTCTTCACAGAATTGTACAAGTAAATGAAATGAAATTAATACCAAAACAATCTCTGTTGTATCCATCTGTTCTAAGGGCACACTTTTTCATGTGTAGGGTACCCAAATATCAAGAAAAGATTTGCTCTGTTCTAAAGCTATATATTTTCATGATTACATCGTGGGTTGATTTACACTGAACTACTACATACAGCTGCTAAAGATACTATTTGCAGCATGGTCTATGTGACTATATATTCACCTCTACACCATGGAACACAATTGAAAATAGTGTTTGGCCTCGACTAGACAGGAAAATTAATGGTTCTCTTAAAAAACGAATCAAACTAGAAATGTAAAGGAAACATTTCGTACAGAGGAAACAAAATAGATCAATGAATCTACAGTTTTATCTTTAGATTTTTTTAAAAAAAGATGCATTTAAAGCCAATGAGTCAAGATTAGCTTTTAATTAGAAAGTTAACCCGAAAAGCCTTACTAAACTAATTAATCAAGGGCTTAGAATTGTGCAGAATCACAGCTAAATTAATGCAACTTGAAATTTGATGGATAGATCCATTGAAACAATGGCTGAATGGCTTGTCAAAACTTGCAAAAATTCCACTGATTTAGTGCAGCTCCTCTAGTTGAGCCTGACAATTAATTTTAGACCACTGGGTATCATGTTAGAGTGCATAAAGGAAAACTGGTACAAATAATATAAACATCAGGGCTGTGCTTTTGCATTATTTAACCATATCTGGCATGTGGTTAAAAATTACAAAAGGTGTTGTGATAAAAATGCTTCCCATTTTGTAGCCGTTGAGTCAAACACTTTTTTTTTATTTCGTGTCAAAAGCATTGCATAAATAAATTAGTATAAAACTGATAAAATAGAGGGAACACAAGTGGCTAAATAATTTTAGACCAAAAACGGGCATGAGTGACCACATTGTCTGTAGCTTTAAACAGTTCTTTCTCTGTGCATGAGGCAGGCCATTGTGGACAAGCATACATATGCTGAGTTGTTTGTTCTGCTCCACAGTTGCACAAGGTGGAGGATTCTTCTGGGTAGTGCCATTTTGCCAGGTTGTCTTTTGATCTGCCCACTTCACTTCTGAGTCTGTTCAGGGACTTCCAAGTTGCTCATTCTTGTTTTGTCCCTGGAAGCAGACCCTCGTTGGGGGGTGGGCATCCAGTTGAAATTTCCATATCATATAATTTTATACCATATCAGCGTCCTCCCAGTAGACTCAAATCAAGGGAAAGTTTCATGAGAACCACCACTCTTCTTAATATTCCCCCAGCAACAGCAAGAGAATCCCTCTGGGCAGTTAAGCCAGGAAATCCCAAATGGATGGCCCCCTGTGAGGGTCTTCCTCCAGGGGCAAACCAAGAACGGGCAACGTAAAAGTCCCTCAACAGACTTAGAAGCAAAACCAGTTGAACACATGAAAATACATAATTATTGATGAAAGATGTTGATGTTCATGTCTGGCATACAACTGTGATCTGGAGGTTTTTTTTTTTTTGGTCATAATTCAACTTTTTGGAATTACTCTGTTCTGTGTTCTTCCTGGTAAGATTGTATGTGTGATTTTTAAATGTTTTAATGGTGACTATAAATATTTCTCTCTCAAGATGCACATTTGTTATAACATTTAGGAGTAACATAGTCCAAGCGTAACCTCGCCCTGAAATGTTGGTTTGAGCTCTCCCCTCACATAGAGACCACAGGATGCTGTATAGTAGACCTTTATTTTAATATTTGTATCATAAAAAACAACTACATAACCCTGTCCTTACAGTTTAACATTCCCAAAAATTGCCGTAGATCACTTGAACTGAATACCTATTTTGGTTAAAAAAATATTGAGCTCATCCAAATTATCTTGGTTCTTTGGAGGAGGGTTGTTCTTTTTAATGTTAACAGAAAATGTTATTGTTCTTAATGCATTCTTACTAAGGGATATTCCTTTTTTTCCCCTTCTTTTTAAATTAGGCAAACCGACCACCTGCAAAGCTTAATCTGTTAACTTGCCAAGTGAAAACAAACCCAGAAGAGAAAAAATGTTTTGACCTCATATCACGTAGGTTTGTTGCTCAGTCCCATTGGTTCTCTATGTTCATTCTAAACTGTATTGTTTCAGACAACCAAAGAATGGCAAAATAGTTAAATCATGTATAGTTTGTATGTATTCTTATGGCTTCTTGCTTTGGTTAAGCAACATACATGCTTCCATCCAATTCAAATATCATTGTATGTGTTTGTCAGCAAAATTGTTTGTCTCAGTCTTTGTTGCTGACTTCACAGCATATATGGCAAAAATTCCAGCATATATGACAAAAATTCAAAGCTAACAAAAAACATATGAACAAATTACATCAAAACAAAACACATCAAACAACATAGAACAGCCTAATTCTAACATTAACACCACATAGGAATTAACAAAAAAAAAGACTTAAATAACCCAAACAGACAGGATAGGACATTATAGTCACGGAGAATCACATTTTGTTGAAGAGTACACACATAACTAAACTTACAATATAAATGTCCAGTCACACCAGCGCTTGAAAAGTTATAAGCAATATCCCAAATTCCAGCAACTTGCCATTAAGTCATTTTTTTAGCAAACTAAAAAAAGAAGGGACCCCCCCCACCCCCACCCCCGAAAAAAGCCGCAACTTATTTAATTATGGTATTATTGCTATATGGTACTTTTTAAAATCTTCCTAGTGTAATATATTGGGACAGAGACATCATGCTATGCAAAAGCATGAGGCAGTGAATCAGAAGTGATATGTTCTGGCTGCCAGTGGGTTCAATTTGGGTGTGCAAGTAGTCCCACTTTCTTATTGCAGTCATGAAATACAAGGAGTTTACACAAAATACTGACCATGATGCAAATCCTGAGTATATTTGCATAAAAATCTGTGTTAAGGGATTTTTAAAATTCTGGTACATGTGGATCAGTGTTGGTTTTCTGTTCTTGATTTATTGAAAGCGCAACAGCCAGGATCTAGTTTTAGCCAAGGAGAAATCTTTTGCTTCTTTATCAATTTTATTCTTTATTTAACCATTGCTGCTGAAAGGAATTACTAAATAGCAGTGATCAGGAAGCTCACGGACAATATTCTGAATATTGTTAAATCTGAATGCAGCCATAAATTGTTGTTTTGCCCATATCTTAGCCTCTTTTGTATTTTGACACTGTGTTATTGTGGGTCATATATGCTTTCTAACACAACAGCAAGAAAGGAAGGCGTGTTACCTCTGAGTTTATATCCGTGTTCTATCTTCCTCTTCCTTTACTACATGTGTTATTTATTTTCTTTGCCAATCTTGTACTGGCTTCCAGTGCAGAGTAGTATGTGGAAAATTACTATACCTGTCAGTCACACAGCTGCTTTATGTGCTGTGTGAGTGGCAGTTAAGATAATTTGCCATGATAAAATTTCTGATCAGGAGAACTGCATTTTTTCCCAATCCTTTCTTGCTTTCTTCTTTCTTTCCTTCCTTCCTTCCTTCCTTCCTTCCTTCCTCTTTTTGTTAAAGAAACTATAAAAATAATGAAGAATAATGCAGTCTTATTACAATGACATCAAATAAATTGACCATAATTTATTTTCTTCCTCATGCTTTAGTTTTGAAATACCTCACTGTCCAACATATCTCTCTGTTATTCTCTCCGTCTTCCTCATTTGTTTTAAATATGCATCCAACGTAATATCCTTGCTACATTTATTGTCATGATACCTTTCAGAAAAATATCCCTCCCCCCTCATTTTCTTTTTGCTGAACAAGTACCATTCTTTTGATATGGTCTCTTATCTCCTTCATTGCGGTGGTGCAATGGGTTAAACCCTTGTACCAGCTGACCTGAAGGTCAGTGGTTCGAATCTGCGAGGCAGGGTGAGCTCCCATCTGTCAGCTCAAGCTTTCCATGTGGAGACATGAGAGAAGCCTCCCACAGGATGGTAACACATCCAGGCGTCCTTGGGCAACATCCTTGCAGATGGCCAAATCTCTCATTCCGGAAGCGACTTGCAGTATATTTTCAATTCACTTCTGACTCGATTAAAAAAAAAAATCCCCTTCACTTTCCTAAACCCATTCTCCTGATCATTGTTAGCCAATTTTCTGTTCATCTCTCACATCTACCACACTAAATATACATTGTGAACCTCACTCTTTGCCATGTAGCTAAGAATACCTACCAGGTGCTATACTTTCTTTTTCTTTTAGATTTTGTTATTCAGATCAAAATTTATTCCTTTTTTCATTTGTTTAAAACTCTTTTTGAATATTGTCAAGTGCAAGATAATTGTCGGCCCTCGCTTCCCACACCATTCATCTTTTCTTCTAATTTAGTACCAGGATTTTATTCTTGCTTGCCTGATCATCACATTTTGTGATTTCAACCAGTCTTATTTCATTCCTATGTTACAAACAACCTTTATGCACCTTGTACCTCCTTTCACGTTTTCTTTGCATAATTTTACAGTTGGATGCTCTCACTGTGTTTATCTGTCAAATAGTGTAATTCATAACAGAGGCTGGGATACAAAGGCCCTCCTGAGAAGGCATTTCCACTCATCCATCAGAGGTCACTAATATTCCTCCTCCTAGCTTTAGCCCTCACATAAAACCATTGTGTTTTACTGCTCCAGAGAATGCCATGACATCTTTCAGTTTGTTTTCAAAGCCCTACTGGATGGAGAGGGAAGGATTGGCAATAGAAATTTATATTATTATTATTATTATTATTATTATTATTATTATTATTATTACGAATAATTGTGATAATAACTTTTTCTTTATTACCCGCCTCTCCTTTCAGCTTGATGAGGGGCACAACATAGTTAAATGCATCTATCGGTATTGACTTTCTTTGCCATGCAGGAATAAGTGTAACAGGATTTGGAAACGAACACATTTTTCTTTAACATAGCAAACCTTCTTGTGGCTGTAATTTGACAATTTAACTGTGCTGGCTATATAAATTCCCATTTTATTGCCCCACTCTGGTAACATTTGAAAGAAAATACTTATACCCATAAGCTTGCCCATGGGATAACACTTCCCCAAATATTACTAAACAAGGAAGGTGCATATAACAGGGTGGTTTCCTTGTTGTGCGTGTAATGTTTGAATTATGTTTCTGTTCCATAGCAAACACTGGCAGCAGTCCATCACCTCATTGTGTGAAGCTAAAGCTTTTCAAGAAAGGGGAACATACAGTTACTTGCTTCTAGTAGATGCCAACATTTTTAACCAATACATCAGTAGAATAGCTAGTAAGATGTGGTGGTTCAAGGATTGGTTGGAGACTAGAGTTTGAATCTACAAAGGATTCCCCCAGGCAGTAAGAAGCCGGACCTTGAAACTGCTAGGCCATTAAATGCTAATCAAGGTAGCCAATTGATACATTCACGCCTAGCTCCAACAGACAAGCATTCTTTCTCCCACCCTGGACATCCCACAGATATATAAACCCAATTTTCCTAGTTTCCAACAGACCTCACCACCTCTGAGGATGCCTGCTATAGATGCAAATGAAACACCAGGAAATAATGCTTCTGGAACATGGCCATCCAGGCTTGAAAACTCTCAACAACCCAACAATAATATAAAATGTGGGCCACACAATCTGAATTTAGAGATTCAACCAAATGCAGATCAAAAATAATTTAAAGAAAACTCACAACAGCCCAGTGATTCCGGCCATGAAAGCCTTCAACAATACAGAGTTTGAATCCTTGCTTGTTTTGGGCAAATTCCACCCTGCTTAGACTAAGAGGGAATGCAAAGGCAAACTTCCTTTGAACAAATCTTACCAAGAAAATCCTGTGATATTTTCACCATATGTACACACACCACAACAACTACATTAGTAGATTTGCACTTCATAATATCCCTGGTCTGGAAAAGCAATGGGTTGGGGGTGGGGCGTCCTAGTGTGCCAGCAACAAGTGCCATACCTGTGCTCATTTGCAGCAATATTGTTGCCCAGAAACTTGCTGCAGGCTGGCATCCAGTAAGCCAAAACCAGCACCTGTCTGCTGAGCAGCACATTGACGAGCACTGCTGTAGATAACTCAACATGTGTCTCAGCCTCAGTAGAAAACGTGGAAGAATATACTTGGATGCAATCATTTGAGATCTAGCTGTATGCAGGCAGGTCTGCTGTGATACCCTTGGAAGAGTTCTTTCACTTTAAAAGGGGGGAACATTGTAGAATTGCCACTTAAACTAGTGTGGGCTTGGTATAGGTCAGTGGTTCTCAACCTGCGGGTCCCCAGGTGTTTTGGCCTACAATTCCCAGAAATCCCAGCCAGTTTACCAGCTGTTTACCAGCTGATTTCTGGGAGTTGATGGCCAAAACATCTGGGGACCCACAGGTTGAGAACTACTGGTAAAGGTCATTCTTGAAGAATCACTGCCTATGTTGTCTTGCAGTATTTACAAGAAAGGTTTTCCAATGTCACTTTGAAAATGAAGAGAGAGAAGAATGTTACAAAGAACAAGTAATAGAGGAAAAGGCAGGAACTGACCAAGTAAACCATAAGATCCAAGTCTCCTGTATATCAGAGGTTAGAGATTCACCTAACAGGGATACCTCATGGAAGGTGGTTGGAAGGTGGGAAGTTGAGTTGCCATCTGCTACTCATTTCCATTAGAGGGAACATTTGTAGTGGAAGTCATGCTTTGAGAATGCATAAAACATCCCAGGGAGCCCCCGGTGGCACAGTGGATTAAAACGCGGAGCTGTCGAGCTTGTTGACCAAAAGGTCGCAGATTTGAACCCTTGGAGCGGTGTGAGCTTCTGCTGCCAGCCCTAGCTTCTGCCAAACTAGCAGTTCGAAAACATGCAAATGTGAGTAGATCATTAGGTACCACTCCGCTAGGAAGGTTACGGTGCTCCATGCAGTCAGCCGGCCAATTGACCTTGGAGGTGTTTACAGACAACACCGGCTCTTCAGCTTAGAAATGGAGATGAGCACCACTCAGCAGAGTCAGGCACGACTGGATTTAATGTCGGGAAAACCTTTACCTAAAACATTCCTGTTAGACCAGGCCAAAGATCTGGTTTCCTCAGTATCAACTTAGTTAACTGAGGTATCCCTGTACTTTTAAACTACTTCACCTTGCTTGAATATTGGAACATGTAATGAAATCAAGGTTTATCGTTCAGGTATGAGTTAATGAAATACATAAGTGTTCAAAAAAGCAACACATTTATGTGGGTTAACATTATTTTATCTTTCTATAGATGACCGAACGTATCATTTTCAAGCAGAAGATGAACAGGACTGCCAGATGTAAGCAGTATTAGGTGTTTTGACTTGATTGTGATAATGACGTTGGTTTCTTACTTGGTGTGGGAGAGGTTTGTTAATTCTAATCATCATGGTGTAGACAAGCTAATAAGTATAAATTTCACCTTTGGCTGGAATGGTCAGAATGTGACCTCAAAAAACCCGAATGTTAAAGAAACAAATGCTCCTTTTAATCCCATTGAGACTTTGGGTTTTGTTATCTTCACCACAGTCAGTATAAATATGGGATATAAATGTACATTTTCGTCTTTCTCACATTTAGAAAGCAACAATTTGTGTCAATTGGAGATCCCTGCCTCCTTCAAGCCCTTTCTCCAATCTTTTCCAAATAATGGTGTGACAGCAGTTCATATCCTAAAATTTTTGAGGGCAAACCCCAACCCTTATCTTGGTTATGTTCCATTATCTGGGCAGACGCCACTAGGGGGTGCTAGAGAGAGAGAAGGATAGTGCATTTTACCAGGAGGGAGTTGAAGGAGGAAAACGATTTTCCCCTTTTTTCTCTGGTTATTCCCTATTCCACTTCCCATTTCATTAACGAGGGTTATTTCCACAACAGGGACATGGGTGGGGGGAATAACAGGAAAACGGGGAATTTTTAAACTCTTTCAATCCACCCTCCACCCCCATAAAATGGTTTATCCTTTGCTCTCTAGCACCCCCTTGTGACCTCCGCCCAGATAATAGAACAGTAGCTTAATCTTCCTTTATTTGAAGGATGGTAGCATTATTACCAATGCATTTAGAGAAATGTATACTTTTGTTTTTATTTCTGAAGCTGGATATCAGTGCTACAGAACAGTAAAGAGGAAGCTTTAAATAATGCATTCAAAGGGGATGACAACACAGGAGAAAACAATATTGTCCAAGAATTGACCAAAGAAATAATATCTGATGTTCAGAGGATGCCTGGAAATGACACGTGTTGTGATTGTGGCGCACAAGGTGACTTTATGATGCTGAAGTAGCGTATTTTATCTTTCCTTTCTATCTTTCTTGGCAGCATAATAAAATGCACAATGTAAGCTAAATTTTACTCATAAAGAAGAGAATATATATGTTTGTGTTTCTTTCCACCATAGTTCCAAAATAGTATAATTAGGCACTTGAATCTTAGCATGCATAGTAAGAGATGTGTATGTACCTCAAGGTTATATTTTTGAACTAACAAATTAATTAATTTAATTAATTGAAATATGTAGCATACACTTCCTTTTTCAGTCACTTGGTGACTTCCTAATTATCCGCCTAGTATATTTGTTTCTTCTGGTCAGCTCCACATGAGCTAGCAGGCAAAGAACATGGTGGGCACAGGCCTTCTTTTTCAAAGTCTCCTGATCTTTTCAAAAGATAGAAGAGAGAGAAGGTGTTATTGCTGATTGAAGACGGGAAAAGCAGAGAGAATAGCTGAATGAGGGGAGACAGAAAGTGAGGGGAAATCTTCTGAACGAGGGCACAGACAGAAAAAACAAAAACAAACACCACATGAGTGTTCACCCATCCCTTTGCTATCCAAAGATATATATATAGCTGGAGTTACACTTTAAAAATGTATCTGTTCTGACTGACATACAAATTTAACTTACGAACAAACCTACAGAACTCATTTTGTTCGTAACTTGGGGACTGCCTGTATATGTTAATGGTAAGCAACAAATTCTAAACAGCTATTAAAATTATTCTGTGCAAATGTAATTGTTCATAGCTTAGTTTCATCTTTTATTATTTCATTTTCAGATCCTACATGGCTGTCAACCAATCTGGGAATTTTAACTTGCATCGAATGTTCGGGAATCCATCGAGAACTTGGTGTTCACTATTCCAGAATGCAATCACTCACTTTGGATGTGCTGGGAACATCCGAATTGCTGGTAAATTAAGAATATTCATATCCTTCCAAAGCTGAATGACTGTCTAATCATCAGTACATATTTCATATCAGTGTAAACTTTATTGACTATACTTTATGCAAGTAAGAAACTTGTTTATCACATTAAGGGAACATTGGACTAAATTCAACAGTAGTTTTTCTTAGAGTAGATCTGCTACCCTGTTTCCCTGAAAATAAGACATCTCCTGCAAATAAGACCTAGTAGAGGTTTTGCTGAATTACTAAATCTAAGGCCTCCCCCGAAAGTAAGACCTAGCCACGTTTTTGTTTGGAAGCATGCTCCCCCTGGTGGTCAGAAGCTGCAATTGCATCCCTTCTGTACAAGTGGTCCAGGAACTGCTGTGGGAGATCATTACAGTCTCCAGGCAGTGTGTGGGAGCCAGGTACTTTACAGCCCTTATATTTTGTGGCCCTGTGTGTGAGGGCCAGTATATTTATTATGTACTGACAACTACTGTATAGTATATAATAAATGTTCGGGGTTTTTTTTTCCAACAATAAATGTGAATTCTTCTTCATGGAAGACATCCCCTGAAAATAAGACCTAGCGCATCTTTGGGAGCAAAAATTAATAGGAGACATTGTCTTAATTTGAGAACAACAGGGTAAAATAAGAGTTTTACTGCCACACCCCATTTACTGCGCTGGATCTACTCTAAGAAGGACTGATGCTGGATTTAGACTAGAGGTATTGAACTTCTGGTCTTCCAGATGTTTGGGCCTCCAACTCACAGAAGCTCTAGCCATCTTGTCCAATGGCCAGGAATTCTGGAAGCTGGCATCCAAAATACCTGGAGGGCCACAAGTTTGAGACCACTGATTTAGACCAATGTATTTGAAGAAGTAGGGGCTAGTGTGATGTTGTAGTTTGATCACTAGACTAGGACCCTGAAAGACTAGGATTCAAATCACCACTCAGACTATAGAAACTCACTGGGCAACCTTGGCCAAGTCATACGCTTTTGGCCGTGGGGGAAGTGAGTAGCAAAACCTCTGAACACATTTTAGCAAGAAAACGCTGTGATAGTTTTGCTTTAGGATCACCATAAGTCAAAAACAATGGAATGGCATACAATAACAACTAGCAGGAGTTTTTCAGTGTGGATGTCACAGCAAACTATAATTAGAACAACCCAGAAACGAAGCAAGGATGGCACACCAAAAAGGAAGATATTGTGCATGAGCCCATGGCAATTCCTGAAATGTTTAGGACAGCCATCATGAGCCAATCACCCATCTGATGTTTTGGATTGGAACCATCAGCCCCAGTTAATATGGCTAATGGTCAAGAGTGATGGTGGGATTGTAGCCCAAAATGTTTGGCAGGTTCCAAGTTAAGGAGTGGTGCTCAAACCTTATGGTCACGATATTTTAAGATTGGCAGTCTGCTTTTTCTGCTGACTTTCCTGTGTGTCACCAAGTGCATAATTTTAAGGAATCTAATGTTAGCATATAGTCATGATAATTGGTAATTTTTCTTAGCCAGCTTTTAAAATTTAGCAAAAAGGCAGATGGTGTGCAGCTTCATTTACACGATGAATCATCTTAGATGCTGAGGCAATTTTTTGCTTAATTTATGCATAGCTTGATGGGTCACCATAGGATCACCATAAATCAGAAATGGCTTGAAGACACAACATAACAAATCTAGAGAAGCTACAACTATGGCAATCAAGATTTGATTAATGAAGCTTTTTAAATTAAGATGTGCTGGAGAATGTTGAACGTCAATCAGACATGATAAGTGCCGAATTTGACACTCGTTTATGTTCAGTTGCCACCTTGGGCTCCTATCATCCAGCAAAATGGATAAATTAACTAATTACTGGATGTTTATATTTATTTTAGCTTGCCAAGAATATTGGAAATGCAGGATTCAACGAGATTATGGAGTTTTGTTTACCTGTAGATGAAGTAGTCAAACCCAATCCAAGCAGTGACATGTAAGTATGAAATCTAGAGAGCGGATACACGGTAATGCAGCTGTGGATAAGGTTAATGAGTCCTTGATTAATCCGTAACACAAGCCAGTTAAACTGCTATGCTTAGGAAATAAATAGGAAGGGTGTGTGTGTGTTCATGTTTAAAAATAATATAAGCATATTCTTATAGATATTTAATGAACTTCTAAAATTTCCTTTCAAAATTCCTTCATTCAATCTAAAGAAAGTGAAAGAAATTGCATAAACTTCAACCTGTGCCAAACTCAAGGCCCGTGAGCCAATTCTGGCCCATTGTGCCATTTCATGTGGCCCTCCAAATGCTGAACTGCAACCCCTGTATTCCTCATCCTTAGATATCATAACTAGAGCTGATGGGAGTTGTGATACAGTAGCATCCTGAAGGCTGCAGTTTGTTGTGTTTAATCAGAAGGAGCCCCAGTGGTGCAATGAGTTAAATCCTTGTGCCGGCAGGACTGAAGACTGACAGGTCACAGGTTCGAATCCAGGGATAGCACGGATGAGCTCCCTCTGTCAGCTCCAGCTGCCCATTGCGGGGGCATGAGAGAAGCCTCCCACAAGGATGATAAAACATCAAAACATCCAGGCGTCCCTTGAGCAATGCCCTTGCAGACAGCCAATTCTCTCACACCAGAAGCAACTGGCAGTTTCTCATGAAAAAAAAGGGTGACTGGAGTTTGGATTTAGATATAAGGCTTGTGTATAGGATGCCTGGTGTTAAAATGCCCTTTAATGTGTCTTCAACTTCAGAACTACAAGTGCTGTTGGGTTGCAATTCCCATTATCCCCGTCCACATTTTGGAGCATCAGAAGGGATGGGAATTTTCATTCAGCAACATCTGGGAATCAAAATTGGGTAAAAACCAAAGAGCACCGACCACTGTGTGAAAAAAGTTATCGTTGGCCCCCCTGTATCCACGGTTTCTACATCCGTGGATTCTGTGATCCTTTGAAGGCAATCAGAAGGCTGATGTGGCTTTTGATGAAAATTAGTTCGACATCCCTGGTCTTGAACCCATATTCCAATCTCGTTTTCCGAACACAGGAATTAGCTCATGAGTTTGTAAGGAAAAACTGAGAAGTGTCATAGTCTGTGGAGCCGAGAACTTGATGGTATACCTCAATTTTCATAAAACACAATATTTCACTTGCACTGAAAACAATCTAGTGAACAGTTTGAAAACATAAAATTATGCAATAAAGGAAGAACAAGCACATACATGTACGTACACATATGGCAAAAGCAGAGATAAGTGTTTGTTTTGTTTTGCTTTGCAGCTCTCTAGAGAAGAGATTACCTCACAGGCAGACTGGAAGGCTTTTATTTCTCAAAGCACACAGTATGGTTACAAGCAATTTTCCATCTGAAAGTTGCTTTCCCACTTTTTTTTTTCGTGTCAGGAGCAACTTGAGAAACTGCAAGTCGCTTCTGGTGTGAGAGAATTGGCCATCCGCAAGGACGTTTTCCAGGAGACGCCCGGATGTTTTGATGTTTTGCCATCCTTGTGGGAGGTTTCTCTCATGTCCCTCATGGGGAGCTGGAGTTAATAGAGGTAGCTCATCCGCGCTCTCCCCTGATTTGAACCTCTGACCTGTGGGTCTTCAGTCCAGCCGGCACAAGGGTTTAACCCACTGTGTCACCGGAGGTTCCTGCTTTCCTGCTAACCTCCTCATATCTCTTACCCTGGCCTTCCCCTTCACCATACCCACCCCGTATCCATGGAGACCCTTCGTCCTGGTCATCTCTCTCTTACTTCAGGTGTGCTACCTGCCAAGGCATAACCTACTTTCATGGTTCCCCATAACACTAGGAAAGGAAGTCATGACATATAACATTTTCCAGTCTTTGAGACAAATGAAAACTATAATCTGAAGAACTGGCATTTCAATACAATATCATTTATCCAGTTATCCTTTAATGCAGTGGTTCTCAACCTGTGGGTCCCCAGGTGTTTTGGCCTACAACTCTCAGAAATCCCAGCCAGTTTAGGATTTCTGCGAGTTGAAGGCCAAAACATCTGGGGACCCATAGGTTGAGAACCACTGATCTCATGTGTAACAGAGCCTGTTTTAAATCATTTATGACAGCAGAGTTCAACAATTGACTCTAAGCTAAGCAATGAAGAGAAGTAACATAACACTGTGACTTTTAAACTTACGCAGGGATTTCACTTGTATCGCTGAAGGAGTTTATTAGTTAAATGACCTATAGTTCATTTAATTTAGCTTGCAAAATCTGTATTAAAATTCCTGAAGGCTAAGGACCAGAGTTTATGCATTTTGTCTCATTCATCACCATTATTTTTACAAGCAAAGACATTACTTGTGATCATGCGTACATCGTCTTCAAAGGAGGGAAATTAGTACCGTCTGTTGGGTGACATTCTGCCTTTTTTAGAAACTAGATGTCATTTACTAAAATTTCTTCCTGTTAGATGGATATTTGAACATAAAGTAAACCATGCCTTGTTTCAGGAATGCAAGAAAAGATTACATTAATGCCAAATATATTGAAAAGAAATACGCACGGAAAAAGTATCCTGACAATGCAGCTAAGCTACAAAGCCTGTGCGACGCAGTCAGAACAAGAGACATTTTTGGACTGGTTCAAGTGTATGCAGAAGGTGTGGATTTAACAGAGAAAATCCCACTAGCAAACGGGCATGTAAGTGTGGAAACATTTTATGAACTGTTCGATGTACATGCATGTAATTTCTAATGTTTACATGTTTATGTCACTATCAGTCTAGTTATTGTAATGATAATTTACATTAGAAAGTCAGCAAAAATTGACTTAATAAAAAAGGAATATTCTCATCTCTCAGAATTGCAAAAATAGGGTTGACTGTTACCCATGGTTTTACATATCTGTGGTAAGTACTTTAACTGCAAGCATGTAGGCCGTGGTGCATTTCTATAAAATGAAATATCAAGGACATTGAGAATAAATTATTTGAACTATATTGTACTTTGCTGGACTCTACCACCAGTCTGGTGGCACAGTGGGTTAAACCGCTGAGCTGCTAAACTTGCTGACTGAAAGGTTGGTGGTTTGAATCCGGGGAGCAGGGTGAGCTCCCACTGTTAGGCCCAGCTTCTGCCAACCTAGCAATTCAAAAACATGCAAATGTGAGTAGATCAATAGGTACCACTTCTGCGTAAAGATAATGGCACTCCATGCAGTCATGACCTTGGAGGTGTCTATGGACAACGCCGGCTCTTTGACTTAGAACTGGAAATGAGCACCACCCCCAGAGTCGTACACGACTAGACTTAATGTCAAGGGAAACCTTTACCTTTACCACCAGTCTAATTCGACTGTGAAGATCCTGGATACTGAGGCCATCCCAAATAAATAAACAAATAAAGGAATCTATCAAAAGACTCACTTTTGGGTGTTTTTGATTTAAGGAACAAGATGAAACTGCACTTCATCTTGCTGTGAGGTCAGTGGATCGGACTTCGCTTCACATAGTTGACTTCTTGGTGCAGAATAGGTAAGTGGATCATCCCAAATGATTAGCACATTTTCTGTGCAATTCGCTTCCAGGATTCAAATTGAGGAAAGTTCCTTTTCAGTAAGAATCCTAATTGCACAATTCTACAATGAGATTCTAAAGAATCGGATTATTAGTATTAACTAAGCTTCTGTCTTTTTCCTTCTCTATAGTGGCAACCTTGATAAGCAGACGTGTAAAGGCAGCACAGCTTTGCATTATTGCTGCTTGACAGATAATGTCGAATGCCTCAAACTGCTTCTGAGAGGGAAGGCTTCCATCGAAATAGGTAAAAGGGTAAAGAGTGTCCTTCAGATCTTCTCTTTGTGCTGTACATGTGTCATAAGGACATGCACAGACTAGCAGTAATGTTGCAATTTCTTTCTCATTCCACAAAAATCTTAAAAAGATATAAAAAAAGAAGATTATCAGAAGAATTTTTAATTCAATGATTAGAACTTTGTTTATTGTGCCACTTACTTAAATTTAATTGCGCCACCCCATAATATTGATCAATCCAACTTGAATTAATCATTTTAAAGTATTCCCAACCGGATAAGCACTGGTTTGCTTGTTTACTGCTGAAATCCTAAAAATGCAAATATTTGTCCATTTTGTCCATAGTGTTCACTTCAGATTTGAGTGTTGTCCCCTCCCCTTTTTATTAGTAATCTGTCTTCAGCAAACAATAATATAATATTTCTTCTCCTTGATTTATAGCCAATGAAGCTGGAGAGACGCCGATGGATATCGCGAAACGCCTAAAACATACACGCTGTGAAGAATTGGTATGATTTAAGGGTTTTCTAAAAGTGTTTTTCAACGTAGAACTATGCTTCCTTATTTGTAGCTTATTCTGCACTATTTTGTTAATAGTTCTGGAAGAAAGTGGATAAGTATTTGTTTACTTGCTCTCTTTAGATTGCTTTCTTGCATTTTGCATCCTGTTGCAGATGCCTGAATGCACCAGATGTTGAATTGATGCATGAATATTTATTCTGTTTAGACCCAAAAATCTCACAAATCAAAATAATACTGTTTTGCTAGAAATATTAGAATGATAGCACTATTGAGTTAGGTCTACTCTTAGGGCCCATCTACATGGGCATTTTACTCTGAAGGAACGGAGAATTTGCTACATGGTGTTTACATGATGCATAAGGCCACCGTTAATGCTTGGAAGCAGCCACAAATTTAAGGAAGGGGATGTGTGTAAACAATTGGGTTGGTTCTGATTCAGAACCTGCCCTATGTTCATATGGGGAAAATTGGGGAAAATAGCATGTGGAAAATGGAATGACATCTGTGTTTTTATAATGGCAGCCATTGAACTCTAGAGAGCTCCTAGCTATTGGGTTGCTGTGAATTTTCCAGGCTGTATGGCCATGTTCCAGAAGCATTCTCTCCTGACGTTTCGTCCACATCAATGGCTGGCATTCTTAAAGGTTGTGAGGTCTGTTGGAAACTAGGCAAAGGAGGTTTATATATCTGTGGAAGGGCCTCTTGTCTATTTGAGTCAAGTGTGAATACTGCAATTGGCCATCTTTATTAGCATGTAATGGCCTGGCTACTTCCTGCCAGAGAGAATCCTTTTTTTGAGAGGTGTTAGCTGGCCCTGATTGTTTCATGACAGGAATTCCCTGGGTTTTTTTTTTTTTTTAGTCTTCCTCTTTATTTACTGTCCTGATTTTAGAGTTTAATGCTGGTAGCCAGATTTTATTTGTTTTCATGTGAACAATTTCAACAGAAAGGAGAAAACCATGAAAACGGACAAAATCTGGCTACTGGTATTAAAAAACTCTAAAATCAGAACAGTAGATAAAGAGGAACACTTAAAAACAGGGGAATTCCGGACAAGAATCAATCCGCTAACATCTCCCAACAGAGAATTCCCCCTGGCAGAAGGCAGGTAGGCTATGAAGCTGCAAGGCTATTCAGTGCTTATCAAGGTGGCCAGTTGCCACCTTGCTTCAAGCAGACAAGAGTTCATTCTCCCACCCTGGACATTCCACATATATATATAAACCATAGATGCAGATGAAAAGTCAGGAGAGAATGCTTCTGGAATGTGGCCATACAGCCTGGAAAACTCACAGTAACTAAGAAAAAAACTACATAAGATTCATCTATGATTCTAAGAGCCATTCTATTTTTAGAGATATTTACATGCAAGAAAGTGTGTCTTAGAATCAAAGAAATATAGTAGTTTATATTCAGTGAATCTTATCAATACAAAAGCCTTTTTAGTGTATTTAAATGGATAGTTAGCATATCTGACTCTCCATGGCCATTTAGTGAACCCATAAATGGGATGGAATCCACCTCTAATATTCATATGTTCTTTTTTTTTTATCATATTATGGATATCTTTGTATTCTGTTCAGGAACTCAATTCATAATTGAAGTGAGATGTTTATTACTCAGGACTCGCCCTTTATTTGTTTTGGAGACAGAATTCCATTGGCACCTTTTGCTTTACAATAATTTTTCACTTTAAAAGAAGAGACAGAATAGAAATCTGAATTCAAACTGTTGATACTGCTCATGCTTTATGGTGTATTATTTTCCTTCTTTAGCTCACCCAGGCCTTGGCTGGAAGGCTCAATTCCCATGTCCACGTAGAATATGAATGGCGATTACTTCATGAAGATCTGGATGAAAGTGATGACGATGTAGACGAAAAGTTGCAGGTACGAGTTAATATAAAAAGACCGATTTGAACAGAGACGGCAAATAAGCAGGCAAACAGTTGAAAAGACAAAGAATACTTCCCTTTTGTAAAAGGAAAGCTAGCATGGCTTTGCATAGGCAGACCCAAAAAACACTTGCATCTTTTCTGTTTTGTGTATCCTAGAGCTACACAAAACAGAAAAGATGCAAGTGTTTTTTGTGTATCCAAGAGCTGGGAGCCCCTGGTAGCGCAATGGGTGAAACCCTTGTTCCAGCAGGACTGCTGACTGAAAGGACGGCAGTTCGACTCCTGGAGCAGCATGAGCTCCCATCTGTCAGCTCCAGCTTCCCATGCGGGGACATGAGAGAAGCCTCTCATAGGATGGTAAAACATTTGGGCGTCCCCTGGGGAACGTCCTTGCAGACAGTCAATTCTCTCACACCAGACGCGACTTGCAGTTTCTCAAGTTGCTCCTGACACACACACACACACACACAAATCTAGAGCTAGGGACATTCTTCCAAAATAACAAGAGAATGCTAATTGAATGGCTAGATACAGATTCCAAAGCCTAATTTTGGCTTTAGTGTCAACAAGAGTATACCCCATGGAAGTAAATGCAAAAGGTGACTAATAATAAATCCCATGTATTTCAGTGTCCCTTCCCTAGTTGGGACTTAAATTGCCTTTAGTTCACAGATGTGTGTGCTGATTTGATACCAGTGTAATGACATGACATTTATAAATGAAACACATTCAGCAGTGTGTTCTAGATAGAGTCAGAATGATTTATTTATGACATAGTTGGAAGGGATAGGTTCAGCATCACTGGCTTTCACTTTATTTATGCGTTCATTATCATCATCATCATCATCATCATCATCACCACTTTTATCATTATCATCATCATACATATGCCACAGCTTCCTAGAGCAGAAAAATAATAAACAGTTCCTGGTTGAAGAAGAAATACCCTAGTACGTAAAACCTCATGATCTCTTTGACAGGGATTGTACGCATATAACTTGAGCTGATCTCTATTGCTATCTAACTCAAATAGTGAAGCAAAGAATTAAAAGGCATTTCATTACTCCGCCACTATTAATAGGCTTTGAGGCTACAGGGACTTATGAAAAGAAGATTTAAGAGCTATTAATGATACAACTAATGTATTCATTATGGTGAAAGCATATTTGTACCTCACTGCTGCATGTGCATTTGGCTCGCGTCCTGATATTATACTGAGTAAATTTGTCTTTCTTTTTTTTAAAAAGAAGAAACAAATTTACCTACAAAACATGGGAATGATATTAAGAAGCCACAAACACTTTGCCTTGATTTAGATGTTGGTAGATTCAAACACCTCTTAATCCCAGACAGCATGGGAGCTGTAAATCAGGAGTGCCTGTGACGATTGATTCTTTAGTCCTGGAGTAAAAATTAATTATACAGTCACCGTCTACATTTGCAGGCTTTATTTTTGAGGATTTGATTATTTGCTTTTGTTGTTGTTCATTCGTTTCCAACTCTTCATGACCACATGGGCCATGATTATTTGCACATTTGGTTAAAATGTTCTCTATAGAACTATCTAGGTCCTCCAGTGCAACTTTATGGAACTTAACTATACCGTCATGCTGGAGGACTTAAAGTTGCATAGAGAAATGTTTTCTCTAGTCCTCCAGTGTGATTCTTGATAATTTTCTAGTAGACTTTGACCATAGAGTCATACTGGAGGACCAGCAAATGTTATTTTTTTTTACCTGTCTCTCCTTGTAGCTTGACAAACAGATGGTAGATCTTTTGGAAAACCACTGGTCACATGACCTTTTGGAAAATGGAACACCCCAGAACGTTTTTGGAGATTGTATGATCTTTGGAAAGGCATGACCATGTTAGAAGTTGCAACCTTTTAATAAATGATGCCATAACCTCTTGGTAAAAGCATGACCTGTTCGAGTCATAACCTTTTGGGAAAATGGCATTCATCAGCATTCATATATAATATATACAGCAGAGTTTCAGAAGTGTTCCTTTTAGTTGCCCCAAAGCATCAACTCTCCCTTGAAATATATTTGTCTTTAAATCATGCTCTTAAGAGACAACAAATAAACAGACTTCTTTAAAAGTAACATAGTTAGTTTACTTGCAAACTTTGTGTATTCAGCATACAAGTACTTTGCATATGAATCCAGTTATGATAGGGTTTGAAATAGTTTCTCTGTGTAGGTAACACAGGGCATCTTTCTTAGAATCAATAGTCCATAACCCAATGCATCTCTCTGTTCTGAGAGTCTAATAGAGTCTCTGTCTAGTCTCTAAGCATACAGTTCCTACTGAAATCTAAAGCATACTGTTCCTGCAGTCTTCTAAAGGCATAATAATTCTAAAATGGAGTCTGAGTCCTGAACATGCCCAGTTCTGATCACATAGTCTGCAGCCCTTCCCACAACAAAAAGTGAAATTACATACCAATACACACATATACAATACAGTAAGCAATATGAACTATATAGACAACAAATAACTAGTGGAGACTTGAGAAGGTTGCTATTTCCAACAAGATCTCTGTTGCTTTTCAGCTTATATTCATATATTTCTTTCAGGACTTGAAATACTTGCTAATCCGGCTACTTTCCTTGTGTTTTTCTTAAAGCAACCAAGCCCCAATCGAAGGGAGGACAGGCCTGTGAGTTTTTATCAGCTAGGATCCAGTCAGCTCCAGCCTAACGTGGCATCCTTGGCAAGGGATGCTGCCAATATAGCCAAGGACAAGCAACGAGGCTTTATGCCAAGCCTGTTACAGAACGAGACCTATGGAGCCATACTCAGCAGCAGCCCACCTCCCACCCAGCCTGCAGCACCAGTGACAAATGCACCTCCGTTACCCCCCAGGAATATCGGAAAAGGTACTTAATGACACTGGGAAATGGAATTGAAATGTGGCACATTTGTTTCGGTAATGCTATTTAGTGTCTCCCAGTAGCTGTTAGAACATGCCTGTTGCACTAGAGTTTTCATTAGCTTAGACAGAATCTGCAGTTGTGTTTTTGAAAGGATAAATGAAGGGAAACAATCTGAGTAGGAATTAAATGCCGAATGTGACACACAGGAAGTCATTTTGGAAAAAGGTGCTATGCTTAGCATCAAAACTGAATAGTTAAGCACTTCATATAATTAGTTTTGTTAGCACAAAGAACTCAGCCTTGGTGGCCCTGACACATTCCCACCATTTCTTTGGCAGGGCTGAAGCTTCAAAAAGGGCGACAGTTTCCTTGTAACAATTAGAGAAGAAAAAAAAAAGAAAAATGGCCTTAACTATTGGTCCCAGTAAAAACTCTATTGTAATTCATGCAATAACTTCACAGTGGTCTTCAAACTACTGGATTTTTCTGCCTTAGTGGAGTCATTGTATATGCATTTGTTATACCTTTCCTGCCACCTTGTGTTCAGAATGGTATACTTTGATTTAACAAGAATAAAAAATACTCCAAAAATGGCAAAATATGGGCTATTTTCTAGCTCTTTCTCCCATCCTCTTTTGTTGCTTGTTTCTTTCTGTCCTATACTAAGAGACCTTACTTTATAAGCACTAGGAGGGGATTGGATGCTTATCTTTATGTGAGGGACATGACTGGTGGCTGAGAAGGCTATGAAACCATCAAATGTGGGTCCTCACATTCCTCACCAACAGCAAAGCTCCAGTTCTCAAATGCCTTTTTTGCCTTCTTTGGAGTCGAAATTTTACCTCATTCTGCATTGAGGCGAAAAGTCCAACTGCAGCCATTATTTGGTCTCCCTCTCTGAGGTTGGAGCTTTTGCTGAAGGCAATAGAGATTGGAGATCCCTCCTTCCAATGGTTTCTGATGTGGTAGGACTATAACCTGAACTACCAAATACACATAAATCAAGCAGATCTAAACTTCATTAGCAATCCAATGTGAAAATTAGGCTTCCATGGCTGTAATCAACAAAGCCCCACTTCATTGATTACAAAGTATACTGGCACTCTTGAGCTAAAATTAAATGAATGCACATGATTTTCATGGGTGTTATCATTTTAGCTCCTTTTTATTTTCACAACTTCTTATGAGGAATTATTTCTGTCATTCGCAAATATGCACCTGGAGTTACTGCATATATTCGAGTATAAGCTGACCCACGTATAAGCCGAGGGTGGGAAATACAGCAAATACTGGTAAATTCCAAAATAAAAATAGATGCCAATAAAATTACATTAATTGAGGCATCAGTAGGTTTAATGTTTTTGGATATTTACATTAAACTAAAATTTAGGATAAGGCTGTCTAACGCTAATTAAACATTTTTCTAGCCTTCTTCATGGTCAATGTGCTTGGTATCCTTTCAATAATAATGAAAAGAGTAAAATCATAAATGTAAAAAAATTAATAGAGTAAAATAATGGAAATGTAATAATAACAGTAATGATAGAGTAAAATAATTAAATAATAATAGAGTAAAACAATACATGTAATAATAATAATAAATAGTAAAATAATAAATGTAATAAAATAATAGAGTAAAATAATGGAAATGTAATAATAATAATAAAGAGTAAAATAATAAATGTAATAAAAATGATAATAACGGAGTAAAATAATGAATAACTTTGACTGGAGTATAAGCCGAGGGGGGCTTTTTCAGTTTAAAGAAAGGGCTGAAAAACTCAGCTTATACTGAAGTATATACGGGTATATTTATTTGGCCAAGGCTATTCTGAAAGTCCAAGGTTAAGTTGTGATTTCAACCTAACATACAGCAATGTTGATCAGACCACACGGCTACCTATGATTTTTAAAAGACACTAAATTTTAACAGAAATACTACATGATATACCAAATATAAACTGGAAGGGCTTTTCTATTGCCAAACGTGATCATTTGATAGACTGATTTCCTGAGAAACTATTTAAAGTACCTTGCATCAAGGTCTAATCTTGCACTGGAATTACCGGTATTGTGATGATGGGATTTGTCAAAAGCTGTACTGTCAGCCGTGCAATGTCTGTCATGCACCACCGTCATGACAGTCAGACTGGCAGACACCCAATGTGTTAGAATGACTGAAACAGTGTGGAGTCATAAGGAGGATGTGAGCAGCACAGAGAGTGAGCGAGCAGTGTTTTATTCTACACTCCTGCAAGTCAACACTAAGCTTGCCTATCCATTGTGTAATTTTATATTTTCAGTCTTAGAAGTAATTGGGGGAAGTTTCCTCCCTCATTAGAAAGGAACTAGGGATGGGGATTAAAAATGACCTCCCTGCACCAACAGCCCAACCACTGCAATGAAATGTGGGATGCATTGTTTGGATAATAAGACACTTTGCATGAAGTTAGATCTACACATTCAGAGCTCGGTGCACAGCAGAAGGGAGATCTGTCTGATGGGAAACAAGGGCTGGATCTACACTGCTCTATAACCCAGGATCTGATCCCAGATTGTCTCCTTATCCCAGATTATGTGGTAGTGGAGACTCATAATCCATTTTAAAGCTAATAATCTGGGATCTACCTAGCCTTCAGGAAGCACACCATGACTACTAATGGTATGGCTTCATTGTTTTTTAAAAATGAATTTTGAGGGCTCAGAACTAAAGGAAGATTGCCAGACCCTCATCCCATGGAGCCCTCAACGGCCAAGAATGTGGTTTGAAATTTGGAGGAAAGATGATGGCTGCTGCCTTTCCTTGGCCCAATGTTTCAGAAAAAGACTATAAACCTATAAAGTTGTGTTGGAGCCTTCAAAAATGTTTGTGTACACCATGCATCTGAAGATATGTGGCTGTGGTCAACATAAATCTATGCAAAAATATTAAAGGTGCCACAAGGTTCCCTTTTCCTTCTCCACCATGACTTTCTCCAAGTGCCATCCCTTCCCCAGGAGCTTAGATATGATTTCAGTGGCCGGCAGTATTGGCTTGTGTTGGACGAGTGGGCTTATTAACAAAAGACCTTCCCCTTGAATGTATAGAATGTATAACTTATTAGCGTGATCCAGCACCAGTAGCTAAAAGTGATAAAAAGAACAAAAACATCTATCTTCCATAGGAGGCTTTTCTTTGTACTAAAATAATACGGTTGCACTATTTACAAGAACAAGGTTTACATAACACAAGCTTTTATGCTTCCTTCTTTGCTTCCACGCTGGGCTTCTTTCTCATGCAAATAAGCAACTTCACTCTCACAGAGGTTCTTCTCACACTGAACTTACACAGGGGCCTCACAAAGTAACTTTTTACATAGCAGCCTTCACACACTGGGGTCTTCTCACACTGAGGGCTCTCTCAGACAGAGACGAACTAACACTGAGGCCTACTAAGCTACAGGCACACCTGCTTATATAGAACTATAGCTTTTGCTGAGTCATTGTATCCATTTAACCCTTTCAGTGCTTGACTCACATTTTTGTAATGAAAAATATCTAGTTAATTTTAAATATTTCTGAAAGCTTGTCCTCCTTCTCCTATTAGTTTTCTGAGGCTGCAAGGTGACAATTGTGGGTGCCAGTATAGTATTCAGAGCATCTTTGGCCCCTTCTGCATTGTCATATAATCCAGGTTATCAAATCAGATAATCCACATTATCTGATTTGAACTGGATTATTAGCATCTACGCTGCAATATAATCCAGTTCAAAGCATATAATCTGGATTTTATATGGCAGTGTAGAAGGGGCCTTTCCGGACCTTGCTGAGACCTAGTTCAGATCCTGCTCTAAGCTAGCAGAGTCTACAGTGCTATAATGCTGTGCGTCTTGGCATTTTCTTCTATAGTGTAATTGTTAATCCCTGTGCCACTAAACCAATAGTAAGTAGCAATGAGGCATATTCTTTATATTGAATGTGTTGTGATGCAAAGGGGTGTTTGATCCTGTCACTGTGAGCGTACTGGCTTTCATGCTTTCAGGGAAGTGACACAGACATTGGCTGGCATCCTTTTAGTGACATGTATAGATGTAACCTTGCTACTGTGTATGTCTGTGGAGATTGGTATTTCCCTCCTCCCTTCCTCCCAATGAGATCAAAGGGGCAAATAATAGTCTGAAATGCCTGAAGAGCCAGTGCTGATCTGATGTTTTGGGACAACTATTCTGGTCTTGCAGAGCATGTCTCCTCCATCTTCTGCGTAACGTGGGTAGATAATTGTTTCACCCATCACGAGACAACAAATTTCCTTTCACAGATGGAATTTCAAAATAGAAAAACACACCTCACTTAATTTTTTGTTTTCTCCCTGTTTCCGTAAAGTGTTATGCCACCATTGGTGAGAACTTGGCAGGGCAGAACATGTGGCTCTGTGAGAGAAGGTTTGCAAGTCACAGAAAAAGATGTGCAGGAACAAAAATCCATATTAAATATTCCGTTGGGGGCAAGTAACTAAAAGTTGAAATAATTATATTGGAAAGAACCAAATACCCAGTGAAAGACATTATTGTTAAGATTAATATTTTATTTAACTCTGCAATTTGCATAGATTGTGCTCTCTTGCTTAACGTTCTTCTGAGCGAAACTTTATTCTTGCCTCTTCATTCAATAACAAACGGTCTAGTCTTTGTTGCTGCTGTTACATCTTTTTATAAACTGTTATTTCACTTCTGTTCATCCCTTGAATCATGGTAGAACATTGTTCAGTTGTCAGAAAATATTACATTAATAGGCACCTGAATGGTATTTACCTATCTTTCTGCCATTTATCTCTTTCCTGGCCTACTTTGTTGTACACCGTATTTGATACAACAGGGAAAATTGAAGGGCCAGTGGAAGAAGGGAGAAGGTGAACAAGCAGAAATAGACGTGAACTTTGTATGTGCCAAAGCTGGCATTGTAATCAGAGGGATAAAGGTCTCCAGCACCATCTACACAGCCATATAAAATCCAGGTTATTTACTTTGAACTGGATTATATGGCTTTGGGCTGGACCTACAGTACTCTATATCCCAGGATCTGATTCCATATTATCTGCTTTGAACTGGATTCTATGAGTCTATATTGGCAGATAATCTGGGATCAGATCCTGGGAGATAGGGCAGTATTGATCCAGTCTCAGCCAACTGGCTTGCTTAGGAGGAAGCCATTTGTAATCTCTATCTCACACAATTATCCTGTTTGCTCAACTTTTGAAGTAAACAAATTATAATTACATATGTGGCTTAAAGTTTTAGTAGGCCCTTGATATCCACTGAAGTTTGCTTTCAGGACCCCTCATGGATATTATTTATATATTTATTTCACATACGGTAGAGTCTTTCTTATCCAACGTTCTGAATTATCCAACACAATCTGCCTCCTGCCTGGAATAATGTCCAGGGTGGGGAAAAAAAGAACCGTTTTCTGTTTTGGTGCTAAATTTGTAAATACAGTAATTACTACATAACATTACTGTGTATTGAACTGCTTTTTCTGTCTATTTGTTATAAAACATGATGTTTTGGTGATTAATTTGTAAAATCATAACGTAATTTGATGTTTGATAAGATTTTCCTTAATTCCTCCTTCTTATCCAACATTTTCGCTTTTCCAGCATTCTGCCAGTCCGTTTATTTTGGATAAGCGAGACTCTACTGTATTTGTATCCTGCCCTTCTCACCCTAAAAGGGGACTCAGGGCGGCCTTACAGCAGGCAGTGATTCAGTACCAATACATATAAATAGAAAAACAATTAAAACCATACAATTAAACATTAATTATTAAAACATCAATTAAAATCATGTAATCCAGAACATAGTCCAAGGCCTGTCCAATTGTCAATTCCATTAGTTCATTATCCGTATTGTACTATTTACTGGTTGAATGCTTGACCCCACAGCCAGGTCTTAAGCTTCTTCCTGAGAGACAGGAGGGAGGGAGCTGACCTGATTTCATTGGGGAGGGATTTCTATAGACAAGGGGCCACCACAGAGAAGGCTCTGTCTCACGTCCCCACCAATCGCGCTTGTGAAAATGGTGGGATCAAGAGCAGGGCTTCTCCAGATGATCTTTACTTCCAAGGTGGGTCATAGAGGGAGATACGTTCAGACAGGTAAGCTGGGTACCAATTTATTTTTATGGACAAGTCCCATTGTATACAGGTGGCATGGTGAAATTGTATCCTTTATAAGAAGTGGTAAAACAAGTTTTTCCTTTTCTATTTTTGGATGGTTGAATCTGTGGATACAGAATCTATGGATATATGTACTGTACATGGCAGTAGCAAATCATTGTCAAAGGAAAGCCTTTGATGAATGCCATGTTTGAAGTTGTGTTCCACTGAACAATATTGTTTTGAAGTGGCATCAAGTTTTTTTTTCTGGGGAATGTGATTTGGAAAGCTGTGCAATCCACTGCATGACCTGTGGTGGCCCATTCATATGCGCTTCTCTCTTGATGACTTCATGCTCTGCAGCCTTCATACAGTGAGCATAAAGAGGTGCAAATGAACTAGAGACATTAAAATAACCTAGTTCTTGAGCAGATTTGTCATATATGTGCCTCCAAATCACAGCCGATCCGCCAAAGGAAAAGTCCTGCTTTGTCCTCATTTCACAGCCGGCAGTAATTATAATAATAATGCAAGTGTTTTCCTTTCTTTTTAGTTCAGTCTTCATTTCTTGGCAGTGCTGTTCAGACAACTCCTTCATCGAACACACTGTGGAAGACAAATTCTTTAGGAATGGAAAGCATAAGCAGGCAAAGGTCTTCATCTGATCCACCAACTGTCCATCCCCCTGTTCCACCATTGCGTGTAACATCTACAAGTATGTTTGCACTTTTCCACTGCTGGCTTTCTTTTTTTTCTTTCCTTTCCTTTCTTTTTATTTCTCTGCATCTACCTGTGGTTGGCCTCAACTTTCCATTCCACAATTCATGATTCTTCTTTTTCTGGTGGATGTAGTTTTGAACCTGCTGCTTTACCATCTTGCTATTTGAGTATAAATGGCTTATTCCAGCACAGTTCTGGGGAATGGGCATCTCAAGGCCACTTAGCAAGGACTCAGATTGCCCCATCATTTTAGAAAGTTGTTTTTAATCATACGAAATTATGGTCATTTAGAGTTCCTGACGATTCTTGTATGGATACTGGGATACTTCTGCTTTTATACTATGGCTAATTCTTTTTTTTTCTTCATGAAAGCACATAAGGATCATAGAGTTGGAAGAGACCTCATGGGCCATCCAGTCCAACCCCCTGCCAAGAAGCAGGAAAATTGCATTTAAAGCACCCCTGACAGATGGCCATTCAGCCTCTGTTTAAAAGCCACCAAAGAAGGAGCCTCCACCACACTCTGGGGCAGAGAGTTCCACTGCTGAACAGCTCTGTCAGTTAGGAAGTTCTTCCTAATGTTCAGATGGAATCTCCTTTCCTGTAATTTGAAGCCATTGTGCCGCTTCCTAGTCTCCAGGGCAGCAGAAAACAAGCCTGCTCCCTCCTCCCTAAAACAGTAACTGGAGGTATTAAGCCACCCTTCATGAAGGCCCGTGTTCTGAATAGCGTTAACACCAAATATTTATCTAGCACCATTGGTCCATTGTTCAGGATGATGTCTCAATTAACTGTTGATTTTTCCTCCCCAGAATAATTTTGCTTTTTGGCAGGGTTTCTCTTGCAGTAATAAAATCAGTAGGTTAACTCAGACGTCTTCCTGAAAGAGTCCATATGCTCTGTTCACTTGGTGGATTTTGTAGGTGGAAAAAAAATGGGTTGTAAGAATCTTTGTAGAGAAAATATTTCGCTTCTGAATTGTTCTTATTTCATTGGATTGAGATGAACTAAACAAACAAACAAACAAACAACTGTTTTATTATGGTCCAAAGGCCTTTATTGCTCCATAAGTGTACAAAATATGCAAGGTTAATAAGAGATGAACTATAAATATGGTTTAAGCAGCAAGTGCTATGGTACACATCTGAAAATTATGTCAATATTCACACTGATTCCTTACTGAAACCTCAATAAAAATATAAAATCATAGTATAGCGAAAGAATGAGAAAGTTCTTGTTCTAATAGAGCCTTTTGAATTTGAGTAAGCTTTTATTTAATGTCTGAGATCTGAAAGGACATGATGCAACAAGTTTGTTGAAGCTGAACAAGGATAGGTCTATTCAGTGTCTGGGTAGAAGTTCCATCAGAGAAGAAAAGCAAGATATTAGTGGAATAAAGAATACTGAAATCTAAGGATTACAGACTTCAAAATATTTAGTTATTTCTATAAATGAAATTGCATTCACAGGAAGAGGAAATGAGAATATCTGAAAACCTGGCTTAAAGCTTGACACACTTAGAAAATTAATTTCCTGTTTCTAGGAAAATGAAGGTGGAATTTACACATAGTCCTGACATGTACACTCTACATTCAGGAATAGGCTTTGTGTGATCACCCATAACAATACGATCCATTCCTTTTTTGTAATGACTAGAATGTATAAATAAGCCTTAAATAAATAAGGGATGAATTTATTCTAATGAGAGATAGCAAATATTGCTCTTGATAGAGGATGACAGCTTGGAGGCATCATCTCTATGCCAGGGCCATTTATGGACAAGCACGTGCAGTGCAGTTCTGTATGTGTGTATGCAGAAAGTATTCTCTCTAAGTTTAGTGGTGTTGACACATATAAAAGTATTATAGGATTGTAGCTTGTACGATGCAGCCGCAATGGCAAAATGGCTTAAACCCTTGTGCCAGCTGAACTGCAGACCTGAAGGTTGGCGATTTGAATCCACGAGACGCGGTGAACCCCCTCTTGTCAGCTCCAGCTTCCCATGCAGGGACATGACAGAAGCCTCCCACAGGATGGTAACACATCCGGTCATCCCCTGGGCAACGTCTCTGCAGACAGCCAATTCTCTCACACCAGAAGCTACTCAAGTCGCTTCTAACACGATTTTTAAAAAAGCTTGTACAATGGTGTCTTGTCCTTAGTTTTTAATACACAGTAAAAATGATTTATATTTCAGTATTTCCTTTTCCCCAGAGAAAAAAAGTATATGTGAACATAAATAGCTGGAATTCTCTATCAGTTTTGAAACTATGTGGCATCTCCTGACCTTACCCTCCACTCATCCTCCCATACCAGGCAGAAGCTTCTATGGGTGATGGATATCTGTCTCTTGTCAATCAGGAAGCAGATGACCGACATTCTCAACCTTTCTTGAGTGTGATCTCCATTATGACAGGCAAAAGTAGGGGCCATGTTACAATCCCCCCTCACACGGGAGAATGCCCACATAAAGAGAGATGGGGGTATCACTCAGCTCCTTCTCAATTGACAGGAGAATAGATTTCTGTCTCTCGCAGCAGCTGCTGGTCTGTCAGTGGGGATTGGTGGACCTTCTCAGTCCCTTAAACTGTGAATGCAAAGGTATCATGAATATGAACCCATGATGAATGCATAACGCGAGGTTGCAGTCCTGCCAGTTATTATTTGGAGTGATTCCAAGCATTCCAGCATTTGTCACTGATACGTTATTCTATGGTAACATCTATAGATATACTCTCTTCAGCCCCACCTCCAGTTGGAAAGGCATCCAGCATCCTTGAAGCTTTGAACCAGCAGCCGAAACAGCCAGCTGTGCCACAGTCGAAACCTACGCCGCCACCACTTCCTCCACAACCTCCAAGTAGAATTTCTCAGAAGAAGCCTGTGCCTGGGTAATTTACTGCATTTATTCCTTCATACTCTGCACACACATGAATTACTTCTTTCGCTGGATATGTGTTTCATTTTCTCAAGCGGAAGATGAGACGTGGGGCAGACCTTCTAGGAACATCATCAGGTAGTTGATGCATGTTTTCCCACAGATTCACTAGTATTCTACACCAATTGATTCATTACATATAAGTAATTCAGTAGCGTCTCCTAGCCAGAACTCCCCATCTGAAGCCAACCTTAACAGCCAACCACCAGATGGGATGAAGGAGGTCCCATCATCTTCCCATTGGGGTTCAGGAATGCAGGTGTTTCCATCTCTCTCTTGCCAATGAGCAAGGCTATTATACAGATATGCAACAGTGGCCCTACTTCTGATCGTTGCAATCTAGTTCACTGGTGGGAGCAGGTAGAAACATCCTTTTCTTTGTGCCCCATTTGGAAGCTGATCCAAGCTCTGGCTCTTCAGGTGGGCTGGAGTAGCATTTATATAGTTTTATGGACCATAGAGCCATTTATTTATTTATTTATCTATCATATCAGGAGTGAACAAAGGGTACACATTTTTAAACTTTGTGTTAAAAGGCACAAAGTTTAAAAAATTGGCATTATATTAAATGTCCTTTGACCAGGAGCTGCCCACTTGGAGTGTCTCTGGTGTTGCTATAAGAAGGTCCTCCATTGTGCATGTGGCAGGGCTCAGGTTGTCTGTGATTTGTAACAGGTGGTCTGTGGTTTGCTCTTCTCCACACTCGCATGTTGTGGATTCCACTTTGTGACCTCATTTCTTAAGGTTGGCTCTGCATCTCATGGTGCCAGAGCAGCCTGTTCAGTGCCTTCCAAGTTGCCCAGTCTTCTGTGTGCCCAAGAGGGAGTCTCTCATTTGGTGTCAGCCATGGATTGAGGTTACAGGTTTTAGCCTACCACTTTTGGACTCCTGCTTGCTGAGTGTCTCTGTCGATATTAGAAAACCATTTCTTGGTGTGCTGGCTGATATCCAAACAGGAGGTGGGCCGGAGATGTCACTACCGTGGTCTTTTTACTATTAGCTGCTACTTCCTGACAGATGTCAGGTGGTGCAATACCAGCTAAACAGTGTAATTTCTCTAGTGGTGTAGGGCGTAGACATCCTCTGATACTGCGACTTGTCTCATTAAGAGCCACATCCATTGTTTTGGCATGGTGAGATGTGTTCCACACTTGGCAGCAGAGTAGCAAAGCGCAAGGGCAGACGTCTTCACTATATCTGGTTGTGATCCCCAGGTTGTGCCAGTCAGCTTTCGTGTGATATTGTTTCTGGCACCCACCTTTTGCTTGGTATTCAGGCATATAGGGCCGTTGAGGAACCATAACTATAGGTTGCAAATCAGTAACTGTAGTTATGAATGCCAGCAATTGTTATCAAATGACTCTTTTAGGAAAAGACTATTACCTGCTCCCACTTATTATAATGAATGCGATTTAAAAATGACAGCAGCAATTTGTGGAATTGCAAACAATTTTCAACAATGATGGGTCGTTCTATTTATTGTTTGCACACTGTCAGTGACTATGATAGAAGCTGAACAAGATTCCAGGAAGCTAGCACACATCACATGTTGCAGACATTTTTACTGAATGTGTGATCTTATAGGATATAGCAGCTATATTTGTATCCATACGCAATATGGTTATAGAGCAGGGATGGACAAACTTCGGCTCTCCAGGTTGTGTGGTGTTGTAATGGCTAGTATCCACAGAAGGACCTTTATTCTTTAGGTTAATGTGACATGTTTCAATATAAGGGGGTCCCCAAATACATTTTTCTTTGTCCAAAGTTTCTAGTATGTTCTACTTCTAAAATGGAAATGAGGTTACATTGGAGAGGAGAGACTGTTAGTTGACTGACTCCTTTGACTGGCTGCATGGATACTCCACCTTTGAATGATAGGAAAATATAGAAAAATGATAGAAGCTACCTGGTGCCATATTTGGATATAAAAGCTTAAGAGCAGAGCCTGCAGGATCTGGGGACAGAGAGCGAACTCCCCAAGTTTAGCAAGAATCCCTATAACTGTCAATAGAGATACACACTTAAAACACCAACAATGCTGAAATATTCTGATCTAAAGGAGAAATAGAAGGCCTTTAATTGAACATTACTTAATGCAGGTAGGGTAGTTTTGTGAGCTCAAACTTCATGGGTGGAAAAGTAAGTGGCAAACTACAGAAGAGACAGACTTGTTGTAATGGCTGCTTCTCTCCTGAACAGGACCGACAAATCATCCACTTTAACTAACAAGAACAAGGGCCCTGGGTCTCTGCAGCAATCCAGCGGTAACCATTTTCTCATGATAAATTTAGTTTCTTAGTTTTTAAACAGCAAATTGGAGCCAATTGACATTTTTCTTGTGGACCTGTATCATAAAATTTGCATGCGTTTGCATCCACAGTAAAGCCTGCATACATTGTTGGGTTTGTACCAGATACACTTTAGGAAATACTGTATATACTTGGGTATAAGCAAAGTTTTTCAGCCCTTTTTTAGGCTGAAAAAGCTCCCCTCGACTTATGCTCATGTCAAGGTTATTTATTATTTTACTCTGTTATTGTTATTTCCTGTCGTAGTCACTGTGAATCGTACATTTGGTATCTGAGCGCATGCGCAGTACAGCTTTCGGAACCTTCTAGATAAAAATATAACAATTTTAGAGCCCACTAGCCCCGCCCCCCCTCCCCTCGAGTATAAGTAGCCCGAGGGCGGGGCTAGCCAGCAGTTCTCTTCCGCCGCAAAGCAGCCAGAAGGYGTGGCATGAACCCGAGGGGAGGAMGGGCGGGTATGTACGAATTCACAGGTGACTACTCAGGAAACTACAGTTACAGGTAAGCAACTTATAATTTCCTGTCGTAGTCACTGTGAATCGTACATTTGGTAGAATAGCGAGCTAACTAACCATGGACGGTGGGCGTCATGCCACAGCCGAAAACAAAACCGCTCTGCCGAACTGAGCCTCACGCCTGGATACAACATCCAACTTATAGTGGGTCACAAACGACAGAGGTGAGGACCAGATCGCCGCACGACAAATAGTGTCCAAGGGAACTCCCTTCCAGAACGCGGCCGACGTGGCTACTGCCCTCGTAGAGTGGCCTCTCACCGGCAGGGGCAAGTCCTTGCCCGCCGTGCGGTAGCACAAGCGGATCGTAGAAACTATCCAGGACGAAAGTCTCTGAGGTGATACTGGAAGACCCAACACATCCGCCCGATATTTTATAAACAACTTTGGGGTTTTCCTTATTGCTGCCGTTCTACTGACATAAAAGGCCAAAGCCCTGCGAACATCTAATAAATGCAAACCCCTTTCTAACTGGGTCGTAGGGCTCTGAAAAAACGAAGGAAGAATCAAATCCTGAGAAATATGGAACTGAGTTGAGACTTTAGGGAGGAAAGAGATGTCTGTCCGCAGTACCGCCTTGTCTTTATGAAACTTAAGGTAAGGCGGGTCCACCCTAAGGGCACAAAGTTCACTAGATCGGCGAGCCGATGTAATGGCCACCAAAAAGGCCGTCTTCCATGATAGACAGGACAGGCTTACTGATGCCAGAGGTTCGAAAGGGGCTCTCATCAATGAATTAAGGACAAGTTCCAAACTCCAAGAAGGGACCACCGGGGACACAGGAGGTCTTGTATTTTTAAGCCCCCTCAAGAATGATTTAACAACCGGGTCCAAAAAACAGGAAGGAAGGCCTACTTTTTGCCTAAACCAGGAAATGGAGGCCAGATAACACTTCAATGACGGAAACGATAAGCCCGCGTCCAACAGTGACGCTAAAAAGTCCAAAACTACCGAAATGGGGGCAGAGTCAGGGGACACCCCTCGCTGTCTAGCGAAAGAGGAGAAGCGCGCCCATTTATAGACATAAGAGCGCCTTGTCGATGGTCTATGCGCTGCCTCAATAATCTGGAGCACCGGGCGCGATAGACCCAACAAGGGATCTATGGTGTAGGCAGGATCCGCCAAGCCGTCAGTCTCAGTTTGTGTACCTCGGGGTACAACACTTGGCCCCCCTGTGATGTGAGTAGGTCCGCTCTGGGCGGGAGAGGGATGAAGATTCCTCTCGCTAATAGCCGTAGGGGCGAGAACCACGGCTGCCTCGGCCACCACGGTGTTACTAGGATACACTGGGCATTGTCTCTTTGGATCTTGGCAACAACCCGCAACAGCAGGGGGAAGGGAGGAAAGGCGTAGGTCCTCCGACCCGTCCATACAAGCGTGAACGCGTCTCCCAGACATCTGCCTCGGGTCACGGCGCGTGTCCGTGCACAATAGAGGTGGCATTTTGAATTGAACCGTGTGGCGAATAGGTCGAGGTCTGGTGTGCCCCATGCCAGGAAGAGCCTCCGAACCTCCTCCCGATTCAGAGACCATTCGTGAGTCGCCAGAGGATTTCGACTCAGGGAGTCCGCCAAAGAGTTCTGGTCTCCTGGAACGTGCGTCGCCAGGAGATGAATCCCCCTGTCTATGCACCATTCCCAAATTCTGGTCGCAAGGTCGAGGAGTGTCCGCGAACGAGTGCCGCCCTGCTTGTTCAGGTAGTACATTACCGTGGTGTTGTCGGTAAGAATGTGTACTACCTGACCCGCGACGACCCTTTCGAAGGACCTCAAAGCCCTGTCTACGGCCAGCATCTCGAGCGCGTTTATGTGAAGAGCGCTTTCCTCTTCTGACCACATCCCGTGAGCCACTAGGCCGCCGGTGTGTGCTCCCCACCCCGTGAGGGATGAGTCTGTAGTGACCATGCTTGTGGCGCGAGGGGCGTAAAAGGAAAGTCCCTCGCAAGCCCAGGCTGGATCCATCCAGCACCGTAGGGAAGCTCGGACCCCCTGCGGGGGAAACAAGCGCCTGGCGGGATTGTCCCAAAGCGGATTGAAGTTGGAGAGGAACCACGATTGAAGTGGCCGCATCCGAAGCCTGGCGTGGCGGATAACCGACGTGGTGGACGCCATGTGTCCCAGGATGACCTGGATGTGCTTGGCTGATGTGCTGGGGGAGGCGATGAGATGATTGAGAAGGTCTCGCAGGTTGTTGAACCGGTCTTCGGGAAGAAAGGCCCTCTCGGCAATCGAGTCCAGGAGCGCCCCGATGAACTGGATGCGCTGCGATGGTATCAGGACCGACTTCTCCCGGTTGAGAACGAGACCCAGTGACTGGAGAAGAGACAAAACCGTGGATACGTGATGTTGTAGCAAATCACGAGACCTAGCCACTATCAGCCAGTCATCAATGTAAGGGTACACGGACACGCCCCTCATCCTCAAGTGTGCAGCCACAACCGCCATACACTTCGTGAATACCCGTGGGGCAGCTGAAAGGCCAAAGGGTAGGACATTAAAACAATATGTTTGACCATTGACCCTGAAGGCGAGAAACCTCCTGTGATGCGGGGCAATGGAGATGTGGAAGTATGCGTCTCGAAGGTCGACGGTCGCAAACCAGGCCCCCCGGAAGAGCAGGGGGGCTATGGAAGCAAGAGTCACCATACGAAATCTTTTGGGCTTAACATGTTTATTGAGAGCCCTAAGGTCAAGAATCGGACGCATTCCACCACCACGCTTAACAATTAGAAAGTATCTAGAAAAGAAACAGAACGGACACGCAGATGGGTCAACTAACGAAACGGCCCCCTTTTGTAACAACATTGCAATCTCCTCCATAATCTGCGGGGAGAAGGGCGTGTCCCGAACCAAGCCCACCCTGGGGATGTCTTCAAACTCAATACTATAACCATTTGCAACAATAGACAACACCCAGGCATCTGTAGTTATGCTTGCCCACTCATCGTAGAAAGGGGCGAGTCTGTCCGTGAACAATAAACAAGGCCCAACGGGGCTGTCACAACTCAGGGAGGGTGAAACTTGCAAGGGAGGGGTAACAACCCGGACCTCCCGCAACAAGTCAGAAGGGCGTTCAGTTACGTCCTCCCTGCTCTCTACCATAGGGACGTCAAAGGCGCTTCTTTGAGGCGCCAGCAGATTTGGATTTCCCTTGGAAGGGTTGAGCCCTGGTCTTTTGGAAATAAGGGGTCCGACGGCCTCCCTGGAATCTGGACGAGCCCGCCCAGCGATTCCTGAAAGGCCCGGAGGAGGAGTTGCTAAACGGCTTTCGGTAAGGGGAGGTAAAATTTTGCCATCTTGGCTTTTGCTGGCTATATGGTTGCCAAGTATAGCCGAATTTAGAGGCCGATTGCCTAACATCTTGCTTTTGTTTCAAATTGTCGTCCGTATTGGGGTTGAACAAGCCCTCCTCGTGGAAGGGGAGTTCCTCAGCCAAGGCCTTTCCCTCCTCTGAAAGATTAGCAGCCCGTAGCCAGGCGTGCCTGCGAATGGAGGTGGCCGTGGCGAACAGATTTCCTGCAGTCTCCGCCATATGTTTGGCGAAGTCCTTCTGTAGTTTTGACAACGCCAGGGCTTCTCCCTGCAGTGCCTTGGCAAGGCGCTGCTCCTCTCCGGGCATGGACTCAATATACAACAACATCCGGTTCCACAAAAAGGACTGGTAACCGCTCATATAAGTTGCATAATGAGCCATGCGTGTGTATAGACTGGCAGAAAGGTAAGCCTTTTTACCCAAGGTGTCCAACTTTCTCCCTTCTCTGTCAGGAGGGGTGGTCACTGAGCCCTTGGGACGTTTAGATTTAGTGACCTCCGCCACCACGGTGTTCGCCTTGGGAGGAGCTATCACCCACTTGGCCGTGGCCATATCAATCTTGTATAACGTGTCCAATCGTCTAGGGACCGCCGGTACCGCCCCAGGCGACATGTCAGCCACCTTAGCTAACTTTAGTAGGTAGGGTAAAAGCGGGAGAGCAGAGGAGGGGATCGTATGCTGCTCGTCCGACGGAAACATAGGATCCTCCACATGTTCAGGTTGCTTTGGGGCAGGTATATTCAGTGCCCTGATCATACGCTCCACCAAAGCAGCGAATTTGTGAAAATCAGCCGGCATAGTAGAAGAAGCATCCTCACCCCCTAAAGCCTGGGAAGGATCAAGAGGCTCTGAGCCAGAGTCACTGTCTCTTGGGTCCAAAATGTCCTGATCTATGGCTCTGGAGGAGTCCATAACAGCTGCTCTCATTGGGGTGGTCATGGCTGGGCCCGGTTCAGTCTGCAAGGCTGAGTCCACGTTTACAGGCACCAGTCCAACTGGGGAAGCGCGCACCGCAAGGTTCATTGAAGTAGCAGCGCCCTCTTGCGCCTCCTGGCAATGCAACTGATCACCAGACACTGCTCGACTCGGCTCCGTGTCGAGGCGGGGCAGCTGATGGCCCCCTGTAGAAATGTTCCCCCCAGCAGGGATCAGGGGGGAGTGTACTGGAGCTCCCTGTGCCACAGAGCCCCCCCGAGAGGCCGATGCCCCATGTCCCGAAACACCCCCAAGATCCCGCAGAGGGAGGGTAGGAGGGGGTCCCGCCGGTACCGGGAAAGGGACCGGGCCCGGTACAAAGACAAGCTGGCCTGCAGGAGTCATCTGCCAGTAGCCCTGTGGGGTCGCGGGCCCAAGGCTGCGCTCAACCGGGCGGGACGAAGAGGCTCTGGAGCGGCGGGCGCGTCTCCGGCGCCTGGAGCACGAGGAAGAGGACGAGGAGGAGGTCGAGGATGACGACGAGCAGGAGGAAGATCTTGACCGCCGACTCGACCTCGTAGAGGCTCTGTGCCCCCGGCGTCGAGAGCTCCTGCGAGAGGGGCACCTAGAGCGCCTCGGCCGTTTGCTAGGCCTACGAGCCCCTTCTTCCTCTCTCCGTTGGCTCCGGTAAAGGGCCATAGCTGGTGCCGCTCCCGGCATCGGAGGGCCGTCGGAGAAGCCCTGAAGCCCCTCCGCTCGAAGGGCGCCCGACACTTGCGGCCCCGGGGAGCCCGCCTCCCTTCCCAGGCTGGCGGTACCGAAGGGAGGCGTCGCCGACGCGGCAGGCGGAGAGGGTCCTAGAGCAGTCGTCTCTGGCGGCTCAGAAGCAGGGGCGTTGAAAATGCCCCCGAACGCGCCGCTGGTGGACGGCGCCGGCTCTAACAGAGGAGAGGTGGGAGGAGCCAGGGAGATCGGTCTCCCATCCCTGTGCGCAGCCTCCCCGCTGGCTCCGCCCCCGGATGGAGAGAGCGTTGGCATCAGGGGGGTTAAGACGGCCTCCGAGATCGGGCCCTCCGTTCCCGAGCACTGCGCCCTGAGCGGAGTCACATCCCCCACTTCGAGGGATAAGGTAGGTGCCCTGATAGGGCGGCCTGACCGGCACGGAGGTTCTCCCACAGTGGAGGGAGGGGCTTGAGCAACGAAGGACGAGGGAGCGTTTCCCGCCCTTTTTGAAGCCGCTTTTTTTTCGCTGTGCTGGCTCGCGGCCATCTTGCGCGGTCTTATCCCTGGGCTTTTTGGCTTTCTTCTTAGACAGCCCCATAGCCTGATCCAGGAGGGGTCCCGCAGAGGATTCTGAGCCCGTCTGCTGCGGTGATGGGGCAGGAGGGAGCAGTGCCCTTTCGTAAAGTGCTGCCTTAAGCCTCAGCTCCCGATTCTTCCTGGTCTGTGGCGTAAACGCCATACAGACCGAGCAGGCTTGGGCAAGATGACCCTCTCCCAGGCATTGCAGGCACAGGGAATGCCCATCAGTGTCCGGATAGGTGTTAGGGCATTTAGAGCAGCGCTTAAAGGAGGTAGTAGCCATCACGCTAAGGGCACGTGAGGGAAGGCAGCTGAAGGAATGGTCAGGCAGTCCGGGTCAATCGCCGGCAGAACAGAGTCCAAGTCAGAAACCAGTACCTTAGCCACAAAACAGTCCAGTCCAAAACGTTCAGAATCAGTCCAGTCAAATCGAAGAAGCTCGCAAAGAGAAAGAGAGGTTCTCAAGCTACTGCGATAACGCGGAAAAGAGAACTGCTGGCTAGCCCCGCCCTCGGGCTACTTATACTCGAGGGGAGGGGGGGCGGGGCTA